TGAGCCACCTGGGAGAGGGCCCTTCCCCAGCACTTCCAGTGACCAGTGTTTAATCGTGTGGGGTTAATTGACAAACTAGCACAAGAGCATTGTGTAAGAACACACCTAAGGTTTTTTTGGTTGCCTGATTATATAGATACCAATGGGTAAGTTGGATGTGGGGGTGATTCAAGAGAGCTTCTTTATCTACAACACACAGGGTCATGATTAGACCTGGAAATTAATTGGCCTGAATTCAGGGGCTTTCTGTGGGCACAAAAGGCTGTAAAACTTGTGTTTCTGGGAGTGTTATCTTATGAAAGTGCCGGATGGGGCATACTGAAGCAGGAAGTTAGGGGAAGAGGCATGCTAGAGCCTCTGATTATGTGTTGAAGTCTTTGCAGTTGATTAATTACAGAAATGATTTATAATTGTTATAGAAAATTGAAAAAATACTGAAAAGCAAAAAGGAAAAAATTATCCTTAACCTATAACTCAACTTGGAAAATATCCTTCAAGAGTGATGTGTACATCCACATGAAGATATATATGTTGGGAAAAAAAAGGATCAGGACTTCCCTGGGTGCTCCAGTGGCTAACAATGTGCCTGCTAATGCAGGGGACACGGGTTCAATCCTTGGTCTGGGAAGATTCCACGTACCTCGGAGCAGTTAAGCCCACAACTTAACTGAGTCCACACTCTAGAGCCCATGAGCTTCAACTACTGAGCCTGTGTGCCCTAAAGCCTGTGCTCCTTAACCAGAGAATCCACTGTAGTGAGAAGCCCAAGCACTGCAACTAGAGAATAGGCCCCACTCGCTGCAAGTAGAGAAAGGCTGCGCTCAGCAATGAAGCCCCAGTACGGCCAAAAATAAATAAGTAAATAATAATTAAACAGGGACCATATTGTTCTGATCCTTACTTTTCTCACTGAGCGATATGATGTGAATCTTCATACCAGCATAACTGGTACAGATCTCCTTTTAGAGTTATTTTATTGTATGTGCATACTTCCGTGTATTACTATTTTTCCCTTATTGATGTGTACTTCAACTATTTCCACTTGTTTTAAACCCATAAACGATGTTTCTACAAATATCCTTGTATACAGTATTTTTGTGTAGTTGCCCAAATATTGCTTTAGCGTAAATTCTTTACAGTAGGTTTATGGACCAAAATACCTGAACATTTTTCAGGCTTTGGACACATTGTACCAAATTGCCCTTCAGAAAGTACCAGGCACACACTTATCTATAGTCCTTGCCAGCACTGAATTTTCTTTTTAATCTTTGCCAATCTGATAGGTGAAAGATGTTATCTTATTATCTTACTTTAGTAATTAGGGAGGCTGGGCATGTTTCATTGGTCATTTTATATTTCTCCTTGAGCAAATTGAGTCCTTTGCATATTTTTGTTTCCTTTACAAAATTTATTTCTTTGAAATTGAACTATGTGAGTAATGTAGGTCTACATGCTTTTGAAGCATCCCATATATAAAGCAGAACTCCCTTCCCTACTTTCTCCCTCTTCTTGTAATAATAACTTTTTGACAGTGTGAGGTATATTCTTCTGTATTATTTTCTATGCATTTATATACATACCTATAAATAATTTTGGGTTTTGTTTTTACTAAAATGGGGTCACATTCTCTGTGATGTTCTGAATTGCACCCCCGCACCCCAGTATTTAATAGATCTTGGAGAGCATCTTGTGTCGGAATATGGAACTACTGTTTTCTTTTCAAAACATATTTATTTTGGCTGCATCCGATCTTAGTTGCAGCATTCAGGATCTTTTGCTGTGGCAGGCAGGCTTCTCTCTAGTTGAGGCATGGGCTCTGGAGTTGTGGTGTGCGGGCTTAGTTGCCCCGAGGCATGTGGGATTTTAGTTCCTCAACCAGGAATCGAATTTGAGTCCCCTGCATTGGTAAGCGAATTCTTAACCACTGGACCACCAGGGAAGTCCTCAGATTTCTTTCCGAATAATTGAGCAGTTTTTTGAACAACTTACCATAAAGCCACCCATTTAAAGTGTACAGTTTAATGTTTTGTAGTATATTAGCAGAATTGTGTAACCATTACCACAATCAGTTTTGGACCATTTTTCATCAGCTCAAATAGAAACCTTGTATCTTTTAGCTTCCAAATCCCCCATTTCTCTGAGCCCTAAGCAACCACTTTCTGTCTCTATAGATTTGCCTATTCTGGGCATTTTATATTAATGGAATCACATAATATGCAGCCTTTTATGTCTGTGTCCATTCACTCAGCATAGTGTTTCAAGGTTTATTCATGCAGTGCCATGCATGTGCCAGGACTTCATTCTTTTTTTAGTGGTTGAATATATTCTAGTGTATAGATATACTATAATCTTTATGCAAAAGTTGATGGGCGTTTGGGTTATTCCCACTTTTGGGGGTATTACAAATACTGCTGCTGTGAACATGCGTGTACAAGTTTTTGAGTGGATGTATGTTTTCTCTTCTCTTGGGGATATATACCTAGGAGTGGAATTACTGAAATGGTAGTTCTTTTTATGTTGCTGGATTCAGTTTGCTGGAATTTTGTTGAGAATTTTTGCATTTATTTTCATAAGCTGTATTGGTATGTAGTTTTCTTTTCTTGTGATGTTAATTTTGGTGTCAGCGTAGTACTAGCCTCAGGAAATAAGTTGGGAAGTGTTCCCTCTTCTATTCCTGGAAGAGTTTGGGAGGAATTAGTATTACTTCTTCTTTAAGGGGTAGAATTTACAACTAAAGCCATCTGGACCTGGGCTTTTCTTTGTGGGTAGTTTTTTGATTACTAATCCAACCTCTATTATTTATTATAGGTCTTCTTAGATCTTCTGTTTCTTCCTGAGTCAGTTTTGGTAGCCTGTGATTACTGGGAATTGTCCATTTCATCTGCGTATGTATTAGTCTCTTAGCTGTGTCCCACTCTCTGTGACCCCATGGACTGTAACCCACCAGGCTCCTCCCTCCATGAATTCTCCAGGCAACAATACTGAAATGGGTTGCCATTCCCTTCTCCAGAGGATCGTCTCAACCCAGGGATTGAACCTGGGTCCCTCACATTGCAGGCAGGTTCTTTACTCTCTGAGCCATCTTGGAAGTCCCCATTTCATCTAAGTTATCTAAATTATTGACACATGGCTTCCCATAGTATTTGTATTTTATTCTATGTAGTGTATTCTAACCAGTTTCCTGTAGATCAGTGTTTAAGTTGTTTCCACTTTTTTTTTTTTTGCTGTTACAAACAATGCTGCAATGACCATTTTATTGTGTCTGTCTTTGTGTTCATGTGTCAGTGTGTTTGTAGTATATGTTCTAGAAGAGGAATTGTTGGGTCAGAGGTCTGTGTATTTAAAATATTGATTGTTTCTATCTTCTTCTCCTCTTTCTTTTCATCTTTCTATCCTTACTAATTTGTATAAGTTCTTTTTTAAAAAAACTATCTATTTATTTGGCTGTGCCAGGTCTCTGGTGTGTCACGTGGGTCTTCTGTTGCAGCTTGAAGGCTTCTCTCTAGTTGTGGTGTGCAGGCTTGGTAATTGTGGTGGGTGCATGGACTTAGTTGCTTTGCAGCATGTGGGATCTTAGTTCACCAGCCAGGGATCCAACCTGTATCGCCTGCACTGGGAGGTGGATTCTTAACCCCTTGACCACCAGGGAAGTCCCTCCGTAAGTTCTTTATGTTTATCATTCTTGGTATCCTGGAGATTGGAGTTGGTAAGAATCCATAGAGCAAATGGGAAGGATAGATTTGAGAGCTGGATGTTTGATGGCTGCTTCTGGTCAAATGTGCTTGATGTGGGTGCCCTAAGCTTGTTCTCAACCCTGAACATTCACATGTGGGGTTTCCAGACCTTGGCACCTGAGCTTGAGGAAGTTGGAGACTCTTCGCCTCTGATGGGCCAGTTTTAGCTTGGGAGAGGTCGCTTGGAGTCTGCAGCAGGGCCAGGTTTCTGCCTGTGACTCCACAAGGGTCCTTTCCATGGTGGTTCTCTTCTGAGAATGTGGAGGCTGACGGGGGGATCAGGCAATTCTGGCCTGTGAGTGTCTGCAGAGGAAGGCAGGATGGATGCCCTACCTTTAAGTGGAGAAGTGACAAGGACATTGTTTCCTTTTCACTGCTTTCTTTTGTCCCCTATTCATCTGGGGCTGTCCATTCTGAGTGCTGATTAATTCAGGGCTTGCCAGTGCCCAGAAGAAAGTAGAGCTCTTTTCCCAGAGTGGGAAGTGGGGACTTCTGGTGGAACCTCTGCCTGTATTTTGTTAGGGTACAGCTTTCAGCCCCTCACCCTTCCATTCCACCTTCTTTTTCTCTTTTTGGTCTTATCTGGAGTTTACAAAGTTGGCACCAAAGTAGGTTAAAATTTTGGACTTACATAGTTTATGATTTTAAAAATAACCCATCTAGGCTCCTGGAGGCTGCAGTTTTCAGGCTTTGCTCTCAAGTTCTCGGTTTCCCAAAAATGTCTCTTGGGGACAGCAGATAGGGACAGGCAGGCAGAGGTGACCCACCAGGGGCTCAAGCTTCCACAGCTGTCTTGGCCAGAGCAGCATGCTTTAACTGGTTTTGTATGCTGGAATTCTAAGTGAGACTTTTGTGAGAAGACAGAAGGGGCTGTGTGTTGCCACAAAACTTGGAAATCTGTTTGTGTGGGACATCTTGGCTCTACTGTTGGGTTGAAAGCATCCCAACCGCGAATGCTGCTGGAGGGTGAGTCTCCAAGCATTGGGGAAACCTCAGCTTTTCCCAGGGGCCCCTCCCTCTTGACAGAGACTGAGTGACTGTTCTCTCCAGGGCCATGTGCCAGCCTGGGCGTGCTTCGTTGTATGGGGTGTTCTGGGCCTTCCAGCCCTGCAAAGTAAAAATCAAATTATTTTCTCTTGATCCAAATGAATTTCATCCCTGGGGAAGCCCGGGTTGAGCTTCCAGACAGTCAGCAGGGAGACTTTTTCTCTCTGCCTCCTGGCTGACGCCCTGTCTTTGTCTCTCTGCCCTGTTTGTATCTTTCAGTCAGCGGAGTTCTTCGAGATGCTGGAGAAGATGCAGGTAAGCATCCTTAATGTCGGGGTGGGGTGGGGTGGGGCAAGTCCCGGGTGGGAGTGCCGCAGGACACTCAGGACACAACACCAGGAGAAACCCACGGGCAAAACTTGGGTCCTTGGAGGGAGGGCAGAGAAGAGAGCACTCACAGTTCTGATGGCCTGGGCCAGCCGAGGTCGTGTCCACGTGAACGGCACACAGGATTCTGGAATGGCTCCTGCCTGAAGGATGGAGAGAAGATAAACAGAACCTGCCAGCAGGGCAGGCGGATGTGGGGAGGGTTTGAGAGGGTTCGTCGTTCCTGGAATGGGTCAGAAAGAAAGCCCCTTCTTAGAGGAGTCGTCTCATGTCTGGGAGGCAGAGCAGCCAAGTAGGAGACAGACCTGAGTTCAAATCCTGCTTCTAACACTCACTAGCACTAGTTCCTACCCTTTTCTGATCCTCTGGTTCCTGTTTTCTGTCTCCTCACAGCACTGTTCTCGCCTCACTCTGATGCCAAACGCGTGGCTGTTTTCCCACACTAAACAATTCATCAACACCAGCTGGGTGCCCTACAATTTCACACAGTTCTGACACAGTCTCCCCAGAGATCTCACAGGTGAAGGGCTCAGTCGCACAAGACCACCCTCCTCTGACTTCAACCCCAATCACAAATCCAGATCCAAAACCCGTATTTTACTCACTGGCTATAAATCAGAGGTTCCCATGATCGCTCCTTGGTTCCATTAATTCACTATAGCGACTCACAGAACTCAGGAAACCCACTGACTTACTAGGTTAATAGCTTATTATAAAAATAGATAACTCAGGAACAGCCGGATGGAAGAATGACCGCGGGCAAGGTATGTGGGAAGGGATGCAAGCTCCCATGCCTTCTTCGGGAACAGTGTGTGTCCACCGGCTAGGAAATCCCCCAAGCCCCGTCCTTGTGGGTTTTTGCGGAGGCTTCTTTACACAGGATGATAGATTAAATGATTGGCCATTGGTGATTGATTGAATCTCCAGCCTCTCCTCTGTCTCTGGAGGTTGGGGGTGGGGCTGAAAGTTCCAACCCTCTAATCAGGGTTGGTTCCCCTCTCAATAAGCTCCCATCCTTAGGGGGTTCCCAGAAGTTACCTCGTTAACATATAAACTTAAGACGCCCCTTTCACCTTTCTGGCTCTGGAGCTGTTTCAGGAATGAAGGACAAAGGTTCAAATGCTGTAAAAAGAGATGCTCCATAGATGCTCCATTGGCCTTAGCACCTAGGAAGTGCCAAGGGTTTTAGGTTTTTCCGACGTTTATAGTTGGCTTTCTACAATCAGAAAGAGCTTTCCCTTTTCTCCGTTCATTTGTTCATTTGTCCATCTATCCATCCATCCATTCATCCATTCACTCATTGGTATGGATTCATGGATTCTGATTATACTATAGTTTATGGTCTGTATAATAAAATCTTTATTTTAATGCTCAAGTTGTCTTAGATTTGGCCAGTGGGAGCCCCTGGGGCCTGGCGGCTGTACCAAATATATATTAATATTTCTCATAAATCACAATAGCACAGCTTCTATAAATGAGAATGCAAATACCTGCTCACATGGTTGTCCGGATGAAATGAGAAATAACAGTTACAGATGGGAAGAAGATGCTGATGACAGCCTACACAGGCACTTCTCTGGGCTCAGAGATTGATAGGTGTCATGTCATTTCTTCCTGAGAAGTCCCCCAGGAAGTAGGTATATTGTTATCCCCATTTCACAGATGAGAAAACCAAGACACAGAGCTATTAAATAAAGCATTCAAGGCCTGGTAAGTTACTCTTGTAGCTTTAGAGTCAGAAGGCTTAGCCACTATGTTATGGTGGCTAAGTAGACGCTCCAGGCTCCAGGAAGGAAGATTCTGTAGTGATGGTTTGGAAGCTCTAGGAGGGAGGCAAATGAAGTGCCCACAGTCAGCCTGAGATGCAGGTGGAGCTGCTGAGAGGGTGACTGGCACCAGCAAGCAATCAAGCATGGTCCTCATGGGAAAGCCAGGTCGCCGCCCTAAGGGTGGGGAGAGATAGGGATGGATTAAGGGAAAACTATTATTAGTGGTTGTGTTATTATCACAAGCAAGTTATTACAATCCCCTTCTGTGCCCAGCAGTGTGTGGACTACAAGCTAATTTATATGTATTTAGGGAACTTACAGTCAAGTTTCGGAAACAGGGAGGGCCCTGGCCTTGGCAGTGAGTGGTGGGAGGCAGCACATAATTAAGTAAAGCTGGGATTTCCACCTCAATCCCTGGAGTCCCGCTCTGCACTCTGCCAAGCTGGTGGGGAATTTGCAGCTTGCCCTGCCTTCTCTCTGGTTGCTCCTGCAATCCACTCACCCCTCACCCTTTACCCACTTCCCTCCCCCTAGCCCTGCCTTCCCCACAAAGGGCTTCTCTGAGCACAGAAACCAGCCCCACTCAACTGACCTCATCATTCTCTTGTTTCAAGGCTGCTGAGTTGTCTTCTCAGCTAGATTGGGAGCCTGTCAAGGGCAGGAGGTCTGTTTTATTTTTTTCTGGCCATACTACGAGGCTTGCAGGATCTTAGTTCTCTGACCAGAGATGCAACCGCGCCCTCTGCAGTGAAGCTTTGGAGTCTTAACCACCGAACCACCAGAGAGTTCCCAGGGGCCTGGTTTTTATGCTTCCTTTCTGTCTCCATGGCAGGTGGCTGAACCCCTGTGGGTGGTTGGTCAGCTTCATCTCAGTTGAGACTGACTACCTGGGGCTGAGACCAAACTTCCCAATGCTTGGGCCTCTGCCAAGTGCCCACTGGGCCCCAGCCTCCGAGGGGCCACAGCTTCCAGCTCTTCCGTGTGTCTGAAAGTCCTGTGGGGAAGTGGCTGGTGTGAAGTGTGGCTGGAGTCTGTCCTTGAGTGAGGCCGCCCTCTTTCATGCTGCGGGCGTGGAGACAGAGCCTCAAGCATTGTAGCCTCCAGGGTGCTCTGAGAGTTGTGAAGAGCTGAGACTAAGATCCAGGACTCCTGACCTCCCTGACTGAGAGTCTAGGGATTTGAAGAAGAGCGCAATCCTTTGAAGCAACGAAGTGCAGAAGCTTTGGATCCCTTCGGTCCTGGGTTCAAGTTCTATCTGATACTTTCTAGCTGAACATCCTTGGTCAAGTCATTCTACCTTTCTGAACCTCAGTGTCCACATGAGGGGATGAGGGAGGGGGCCATAATCATGACACCTATAGCAAGGAGATCAAACCAGTCAATCCTAAAGGAAATCAACCCTGAATATTCATTGGAAGGACTTTGGCCACGTGATGTGAAGAGCCAGCTCATTGGAAAAGACCCTGATGCTGGGAAAGATTGAAGGCAGGAGGAGAAGGGGGCGATAGAAGATGAGATGGTTGGATGGCATCATTGACTCATGGACATGAGTTTGAGCACGCTCGGGAAGATGGTGAAGGACAGGGGAGCCTGGTGTGCTGCAGTCCATGGGGTCACAAGCAGTCGGACATGACTTGGCGCCTGAACAACAACAATAGCAAAGGCTGACACTGGAGAGGGCCCAGTGCTGGGCGGTGGCTCTGTCATGGGGGAGGGCATGGGAGGAGGTTTGCTCACCTGCTCGGGGCTGTTTCCAGGCAGGGATGACTAACGAAGGACAAACAGACCAACTCCTGACATCACCCCTCTCTTCATCCTCCCAGTTTGCTTCCCTGGTCAGGGACTGCTGTCCACTCAGGTGGTTTTCTCCCCATGTGGAGAAAGGGCACCCTGTCGAGCGGGAGGGGCCCTCCCCACGCCCTCCTGGGTGATGTTTCAGGTGACTCAGCCCCGCCAAGTCCGGAGAAGCCCAAGTCTAAATCTACCCAGTGAGTGAGCAGGAGTCCTGGGCTCTGAGGGCTCTGCACTGTAGACCCACAGCCCAGCTTCACCTCCGGGTGCTCACACCCACCAGCTCCAGGAACCTCCTCCCAGGGCCCCCATTTCCGTGTTGGTAAATAGGTGCTGAGGGTTTTCAGAGGGGACTGAAGGAGGGAGCTCTGTGCAAGGTCAGGTTCCTGCTCTGTGTTACTATGATCGGGCAGGGGCTGCTGCAGGACGCTCTCCTCTCCAGAGGGACCTGCATGTCCCAACATGTCCCAGCATCTCACACCCTTGTCGGAATTTATTCAAACAGTCTTGGGAACACCATGTACCCCACCTCCTCAAAACCCACTTAAGTCAGAACGTGGCACCACTGGAAACCAGGCCCTGCTCCCCAGAAGAGCATCTTCCAAACACCTGCAGATGCTGCCCTTTAATCCAGGCCCAGTGAACGTGCCTGACCCTTGCGATGACACCACTGAGAGATGGATGGGTGGGTGTTAGAATCCTCATTTCGCAGTTGAAGCTGTGGAAACTGCACAAGGCTCAGCTTCGTCAAGGGTCACTGACAGTAAGACAGCAGCAGAGTGAGGATCAGGCCACCTGCCTGTCAGCCGTGGGCCCTCCTACCCGGGAGGGGTGCCACTGGTGTGGCCATGAGGTCCAGCCTGCGGGTGCTGACACCCCAAGATGCAGGTTCCCATCCCTCACCCCTCACCTGTTGGCTTTGAGAGAGCCTGATGGAGATGTTTAAGTGCTAGAGTGGGTCTTGCCTGATGGTACAGTGGATAAGAACATGCCTTGCAATACAGGGGACATGGGTTTGATCCCTGGTCCGGAAAGATCCCATGCGCCATGGGGCAACTAAGCCCATGAGCCACAACTGCTGAACCCAAGTGCTGCAACTACTGAAGCCCATGCACCTAAAGCCCATATTCTGCAACAAAGACCACAACATTCCGCTGTCAACTAACCCCTGCTTGCTGCAACTAGAAAGTTCATGCAAAGCAGCAAAGACCCAGCGCAGTAAAAAAAAAAAAAAGCACCAAGATGAAAAAGCTGTTTACCTATAGCTTTTACCATATAATGACCACTCTTCCAAGGGCTCAACACAGTTCTCAACATTTAATTTTCACCACAAGAGTAGGTGCCATTTTCATTCCCATTTTACAGATTGGAACACTGAGCTCCAGAGAGTTTTGTGACTTGTCCAAGGTCATCTGGCCATAAGTGGCAGTGTTGGGATTTGAACCCCTGTATCTGGCTTGAGCCCATGCTCTTAACCTGCTGCCTTGCCGGAGGCTGCTGTGAGGCCTGAGTGTGTAAGGGCCCAGCACACGCCAGCTGCTGCCGCTGCTATCACTAACTGCCAGCTAAGGCAGCTGCTCCTGGGAGACTCCTCTGTTTGGCTCGTCTTCTGTGACCTTTGCTTTTCCATGGATCCTCTTTTCCTTGTTTCTGCAGGGGATCAAGCTTGAAGAGCAGAAGCCGGGACCCCAGAAGAACAAGGTGGGCTGGGCGGGTGACAGGCAGGGGACACAGTGGGCTTGCTGGGTTCTGCTATCTTAGCTGTCTCCCTCAGATTTTCACCATGAGCCACTTCAGTGACCACACCATGTTGACTGGGGCACAGTGGGCAGCAAGGGGAGTCCTGGCTTGATGCCTTTGGGGCAGCTTCTGGGTGGACTGGGGTGGAGACAAGGCTTGAGGCTCAGCCTGGCTTCTCTGTACCCACTCCTGTGAATGGACCACATGCCGTGTGTAGGGGTGTCAGATTGCTCCAGGTTCCAGAGGCATCAGCTCTCAGCTTCAACTTCCATTGCCCAGGCCCAGGGGTGCAGCCCTCTTACCTGGAGGGGGCTGGATGGGACCAGAGGTTACCTTCCTGTTACAGCCTCCTAGGGTGAGCAACTGGGTCACCAGAAGTGTGGGCCTCAGCGCTTTGCATGCTGCGTCTTCGGCTGGCAGGGTTTGCACTCAGGTTCTGTCATTCTGGGGAAGAACTCAAGCCAGGTTCCAGAGCTGCCTCTAGGCTGTTTTTCTGTCCGGTTTTCTGCCCGCTGATCTTCCCAAGGCCCTGCTGCAGTCTGCCAGGCCCCCAGCCCACTACCTCCCCGATCTGGGAGAGGGGAATGGAAACAGTGATCAAACCTGATGGGTGATGCGGGGATGAATGGTGACATTGTCTGGTTTGTCTTGCAGGATGACTACATTCCGTACCCCAGCATCGATGAGGTAGGAGCCCCCTGGCTGTGTTCAGCTCTGGGTCCCATCTCTGGGGCACAGCTGGGGGAGCTGATGGTGATGATGATGGTCCCTGCCCGGCCTCATGTGGGAGAGAACCCTGACCCTGGAGCTTGAGGGCCTGAGGTCTCTTTCCATTATCTCCTTTGTGACCTCAGCTGTTCCATGTTTAAATTGAAGGTATCTGCCAAAGCTTTGCACCTCTGGTGCTCCATGGTCAGTGAAACTGGAGGTGTTACAGGGCTTAAAGGAGGGGTTCATGTTACTGCTTTTGGCCTCAAAGATGGGATCCCCTCCTTGGAGCCATTGGAAGGTTGAGGGACACCCCACTGGCACCCTTCCCCTCCTTCTATAGACCCCGGGGCAGGCTGCAGTGCCAGAACCTCCCTCTGCCTCCAGGTCGTGGAGAAGGGAGGCCCGTACCCCTTGATCGTCCTGCCCCAGTTTGGGGGCTACTGGATTGAGGACCCCGAGAACGTGAGCACACCAACCTCCCTGGGCAGCAGCATCTGTGAGGATGAGGAGGAGGACAGCCTCAGTCCCAGCACGTTTGGCTACAAACTCGAGTGCAAGGGTGAAGCCAGGGCCTACCGCAGGCACTTTCTGGGGAAGGTAAGGCCCGGGGACCCAGGGCAGGGAAATAAATAGCTGCTGGAGGGGGGGACGGTGGGCAGGGGGTAGGGGCAGGAGCCTGGCGTTCCTCTCCAGGCCTCCTTTCTGTCTCTCCTCTTCCAAGTCCTGCCCCTGGGCGAGGGGTGGGGGCGAGGGTGGGCAGAGTGTCTGCAGAGCCAGGAAGGCTCGTGTGTGATGGGTCCAGGTGGGTAACACCCCCGACACATCACATATTTTAGACACATATTTTAGAAGGTGATGGAAGGGGTAGTGTTTGGAGGTGAAGGAGATTGGAAGAAAAAAAAATGTTCTCACACTTTGGAAGTCTGTTTCTATCAAAACAGTACAAGTCTCTTGTGTCCTCATTCTAGCAGGTCCCCCTGGGTACTTGTACCAGATGATGTGCTGTGAACCTCTGATGCCTTAAAAGTGACGACTTTACATTTCTTTAAATACATTCTGCCCACCAGCCTTGCCAGGTTCCGAAAGTCCCGAGGGCAGATTCCGGAAATCTCCAGCCTAAGGCAGCTTTTCTGTCTTAGGAGCTGTGTGTCAGCACCTCCTGGGGAATGTGTTAAAATGCAGACTCCAGGCCCCCACCCTGAGATGGCTGGTCCAGGATGGGCACCCTGAGCCAGGGGGAGACCCACTGTTTAGAGAACCAACTGGCTCCACCCTCCCGGCTTTATTCCTGCAAATAGTCTGAATTGGGGAGGGTTGCCCTTGGGAGCGAGGCAGTTCTTCATCTTGTGATGAAGAACTTGAGCTTTGGTCAAGACAGATGTGGAACCCTGGATCTTTCACTTATTAGTGGTATGACCTTGGATAGTTAACGACTCTGAACGTGGTTTACCCATCTGTGAAATGGGCATGATGATGTTTTCTCATGCATAAAGTTGAAAGTCAGGATTAAAGAAGTGAAGGGATATTAGGCTTTTAGCCCAGTGCCTGGCAGGTCTTGGGACTCTGGGCAGTTGGAACCTGTTACTGTGACCCTTCTCTCCCTTCCCCTCATCTACCCCTCCCCCCACCATCACCAGCAGAACCACAACATTAGCTTTTGTCTCTTGCTTGTTGCTGTGGGGCTTCTGACTCCTGGTGAAGGAGGTGATTTGGGGGAACATGTCTGGAGGGTCCCCCCCATCCCTGCTAACACCTGATTTCTGTCTCTAGGATCATCTAAACTTCTACTGTACCGGCAGCAGCCTGGGAAACTTGCTCCTGTCCGTCAAGTGTGAAGAGGCCGAGGGCGTTGAGTACCTTCGGATCGTTCTCAGGTGGGGCTTCGGCGCTGCTGGAGGCCACGCCTCTAGTGGCCGGTACCCAGAAATACTGGTCTGACCAGTCTGGTCTGGGTGTGCTGGGGAAACAAACCTGGCTGGAGTCTTGGGGCTACGTGTGATTTGCCAGGCGGGGAGACTGGGTGTTTGTGCCAGCTGCCTGACTGCAGGAGTCAGCGTGGTGTCTGGTCTCAAGGTCACCTAGACCGTACCCCCACCTGCTTCTCTTGTGGGGACTGGGACTCTGAAGAAGATGGTTCATCCTGCTGAGATACAGCTCCAGCCTGTCCTGGGAGGAGGTTTGCCAGAACACTGCCTCCAGTGTGCATCCAGTCGTGGAAAATAGGTCCCGAAGCATCTCTGTGTACCTTGGGTTCCCCAGAAAGGAATGGAGCACTGATTCACAGTCAGGCCGGGGACCTCTCTCCGGATTATGACCTTCTCAAGGGCAGGAGCTGGAATTGGTTTCTGTTGGACTTAGGTGTTTTTTAGACATCTTTAGCAATAATGACAGTGGGATGGTCCATGTTCTCTGCAGGCCTAGTGGTGAGAAACACAGAGGATTTTAATGTATGGCACAAGTATTATCTGTGGGAACACAGAGAGTCAGTCTTAAATTTCTCTGTCCCCGTTGGGCTGGTGGAGAAGTGGGGAAAATCAGCAATGGTGCTTAGCAGTGTGCTGTGGACCTGTCAAGCTCCCAGTCCATATTTGTGAATCTAATTGGAAGTCTTTGGTGGTATTTGGAACAGAGCAATAACATTTTTTCTCTGCCCAAGTTTTGAGATAAAAATGGGATGGAGAGTGACAGCTAGCCTTGCAATGGGAAAGATAGGAGGAGGGGGGAGCTGGTACAAGGAAGTTGTCAGCACTCATCCAATTTGGATTTGCTCTTTCTTAAGAAAGGAACCAATTTTCTTTGCTGAGGTTCACCTGGCTAGAAATGATGTTTGTAAGGCAAGGAAGAGTCCATTAAATCGCTGGCACCAATATTCTGAGAGAGTAATACCTGGATCCCCATATCCTAAAAGGATTTTAAGTTGGTGAACCTCTGTGAAGAAAATTACTTCCTTTCTTAATAAAAATCAGACCCAGATGGGGTAGCATTTCTGAGTTAAGAAGATAATTGAACACAAGCATTTAACCCTCTTTTTCTAATACCATATCCTATCTGAAATGCCACACCTGGACTCAAAGAGAGAGAAAGATGCTTGACACACAGCACATTTTGATGATTTTTTTATTCTTTGGTAGTCTGTGGGGCGATATTGAGAACTGACCTCAGTGCCTCTGCCTTAGAAAGCAGTGTAATGAGGGATTAGATAAAGTGAAAATTGCTCAGTCGTGTCTGGCTCTGCCATCCCAGGTACTATACTGTCCATGGAATTCTCCAGGCCAGAATACTGGAGTGGGTAGATCAGGGGATCTTCCCAACCCAGGGATTGAACCCAGGTTTCCCGCACATTGGAGATAATCCTGTGCTGTTTAGAAGTAAGGGTGAGCCCCGGAGCATTCAGGGGTCTTTGCACATGGAACCACTTTTGTTGTTTCGGGTCAACAGCGTTTGAAATCAATGCCTGGGGAAGTGATTTCCCTGGTGGTCCAGTGGCTAAGACTCGACCCTTCCAGTACAGGGGGCCTGGTCAGGGAACTAGATCCCACATGCTGCAATGAAGATTTCGCATGCTGCAACTAAAAAAATCTTGTGTACAACAAGGAAGATCGAAGATCCCTTGTGCTGCAACTAAGACCAGGCACAGCCGAGTAAATAAATACTAAAAAAGAAATGCATAGGATTCTTTTTTTTAAAAAAATGCCCTGGGGAGTTAAGCTCAAATGTGGCTCTCCCAGTAGAAATCCAGTGAGCGGGGTGGCAGAGGGAAGCCATTCCCCAGCTAGGAAGTTGGGTAATCACAAAGTGTACCGAAAGCCAGATGTAAAAAAAATTGGCTCCATGGCCTAGTAACTTCACCAGGCACAAAGAAGAAATTATGCAGAGATAAAATTCCCCTGCTGGCAGTGACTCCTACCCCAGCTTCTTCCTCATTCCTGTCGGCTTCTGGATTATTTAATTGATGTCTTAGAGCAACCAGATCTCCAGCTAAAATCTGAGGATTCTGACAACATCTGTGTGTGCAGCGAGACTTGCCAAGGAGAATCTCCTTACAATTTGGAGATAAGTAACAAGCCTGAGTAGATGTCACCTTTTTCAATGTGTGTGTGTGTTCAGTCGCTAAGTCATGTCCAACTCTTTTGTAACCCCATGGACTGTCCACTAGAGTCCTCTGTCCATGGAGTTTTCTAGGCAAGAATATTGGAGTGGGTTGCCAATTTCTACTCCAGGGGATCTTCCTGACCCATGGATTGAACCTGCGTCTCTCGTGTCTCCTGCATTGGCAGGTGGATTCTTTACCACTGCGCCACCTGGGAAACTCCACTTTTCTCAAGTTTGGATATAAAAAGGAGAGCAAAAAAACCACAAACAAAAAACCAAAACCCTAATAGTTTGGTGAAAGAAAGGATCCTGCATCTAAAAAAACATAACTTAATGTTTAGAAGGTAGGAAAATACCCAGGCTTTGGAAAGGATTTATTATAGCAAGCCAAGTTAAATTCTGATATCCATTAACTTTGTATTTTTAGCAAACCTCTAGGAAAAATAAACTGTTTTAAAGACAAAAGATTAGGGACATCCCTGGCTATCCAGTGGTTAAGACCTGGGGATTGAACCCACATCTCTTGCATCTCTTGCATTGGCAGGCAGATTCTTAACCACTGAGCCACCAGAGAAGCCCATTGTGTTCAACCCATGCTATTATATTGGAAATTTCATTTGAAGCAGATGCTTTTCTAGGAGGGCATATGTGACTAAATTTAACATGAAGTGAAAAACCTGACCAGGTCAATAACAGTAATGGAATAAGTTGAAAAGTTCTCAAAGAATTCTCTCTCCAGAAGTTTCTAGATCTAGATGGTTTGCAGGTAGTTATTCGAAACTTGTAAAGAACAGATTTCATTTAGAACTTCAAAGATAAATAGGAATTTTTAAAGCTACCTAAAAATAGATTATCTATGAAAGACAACCAGGCTGAGAGCAAGTTTCTTATCAGCCATGGGACAGTGGGACAGTAGCTTTAAAATGGTGGAAGAAAGCTGTTCAAACATTTAAAAAAATGAAGGGAGTACATTATTCACAGAATCTAACTGAAAGAATCACTACAGGGTATCTACTTCAGCTAGAAGAAAAGAAAAACCAAAAGAAAAGATGCAACTAAAAAGTAAGAAAAATGGATAAACTATGTTGATAAATTTAATTACTGACTGGAAAAAAGTAATTTTTTAAAAGAAAAAGTTCTTGAATTAAATTTATAAACAAATATAGGAAAGACAGTGGGAAGGAAAGAGTTCAGTAGCTCTTGTGTCTCCTTCCTTCCTCAGGAGAGAGATAGCAAGTAAGTTTAGAGTTTGTTGGAAAAATATAAATAGCTGTATTGGAAGTTATAGAAATACAATATCCCTCTTAAACTAGCAGAGGGATAAAGAGAATTTTAAAAAGTTTACAAAACTGAATGCAGGGAAGGAGAAAAAAGAAAAAACACAGGGTTATTAAAAACACAAAGTGATAAAAACAATTCCAAGTATATTAGTAAGCACAAGTACAAATAGTCTATGAAAATATTAGGCTATTGGATTGAACTAAAATGCAGCTGTATTCTACTTATCAGAGTCATGTCTAAAGAAAAATGACATGGAAAGATTTAAAATGAAGAAATAGAAAAAGGTATTCTGGAAAAATACTAGCTAAGAAATCTGGTGTAGCAATAGTCTGTTGAAAAAAATAGAATTTCAAGGAAAATGCATCAGTAGAGATAAAAGGAGCACTTTTGTAACTTGGGAATCCTTCCCTACTCCTGATTTTCTTGCTTTGTGTAGCACTCCTGGCTGTCTCCACCCTCTTGGTGGGTACATTTGCAGTAGGAACTTGATGTAGGTAGCTGCGTCCTTTTCCCTCTTGAAGCTATCTGCCCTTGAGGCATTCCCTCTGCTCCCTGTATTGTGGTCTCACCTGAGGAGACCCCAGGAGAGGAGGTTTGTCCCTGCCCAGCACTGTCTGTGACTGCTGGATAACTCTGGGCTTTAGTTTAAACATCCATTTCACCTTCACGCTAAGCTACTGTACTTCCTCTTCATCTTTATCAGTACCAAAGGAGTTATTTTCATTTCCAACTGCCTTACTTTTTTTTTTTTTGCCGTGCCGTGTGGCATGTGGGATCTTAGTTCTCTAACCCGAGCCCTCTGCAATGGGAGTGTGGAGTCTTTTTTTTTATTTTTTTATTTTTTTCATTTATTTTTATTAGTTGGAGGCTAATTACTTTACATCATTGCAGTGGTTTTTGCCATACATTGAAATGAATTAGCCATGGATTTACATGTATTCCCCATCCCGGTCCCCCCTCCCACCTCCCTCTCCACCCGATCCCTCTGGGTCTTCCCAGTGCACCAGGCCCGAGCACTTGTCTCATGCACCCAACCTGGGCTGGTGATCTGTTTCACCCTAGATAATATACGTGTTTTGATGCTGTTCTCTTGAAACATCCCACCCTCGCCTTCTCCCAGAGTCCACAAGTCTGTTCTATACATCTGAGTCTCTTTTTCTGTTTTGCATATAGGGTTATCGTTACCATCTTTCTAAATTCCATATATATGTGTTAGTATACTGTAATGGTCTTTATCTTTCTGGCTTACTTCGCTCTGTATAATGGGCTCCAGTTTCATCCATCTCATTAGAACTGATTCAAATGAATTCTTTTTAATGGCTGAGTAATATTCCATGGTGTATATGTACCACAGCTTCCTCATCCATTCGTCTGCTGATGGGCATCTAGGTTGCTTCCATGTCCTGGCTATTATAAACAGTGCTGCGATGAACATTGGGGTGCACGTGTCTCTTTCAGATCTGGTTTCCTCGGTGTGTATGCCCAGAAGTGGGATTGCTGGGTCATATGGCAGTTCTATTTCCAGTTTTTTAAGAAATCTCCACACTGTTTTCCATAGTGGCTGTACTAATTTGCATTCCCACTAACAGTGTAAGAGGGTTCCCTTTTCTGGGAGTGTGGAGTCTTAACCACTGAACCACCAGCGAAGTCCCCAGCTGCCTTACTTTTTTAAATTTATTTATTTATTTATTTATTTATTTATTATTATTTTTTTTTATCACAACCATAGTGTATCTTTTTTTTTTTTTTTTTTACATGTATTCCCCATCCCGGTCCCCCCTCCCACCTCCCTCTCCACCCAATCCCTCTGGGTCTTCCCAGTGCACCAGGCCCGAGCACTTGTCTCATGCACCCAACCTGGGCTGGTGAACTGTTTCACCCTAGATAATATACGTGTTTCAATGCTGTTCTCTTGAAACATCCCACCCTCGCCTTCTCCCAGAGTCCACAAGTCTGTTCTATACATAGGAGTCTCTTTTTCTGTTTTGCACATAGGGTTATCGTTACCATCTTTCTAAATTCCATATATATGTGTTAGTATACTGTAATGGTCTTTATCTTTCTGGCTTACTTCGCTCTGTATAATGGGCTCCAGTTTCATCCATCTCATTAGAACTGATTCAAATGAATTCTTTTTAATGGCTGAGTAATATTCCATGGTGTATATGTACCACAGCTTCCTCATCCATTGGTCTGCTGATGGGCATCTAGGTTGCTTCCATGTCCTGGCTATTATAAACAGTGCTGCGATGAACATTGGGGTACACGTGTCTCTTTCAGATCTGGTTTCCTCGGTGTGTATGCCCAGAAGTGGGATTCCCAGCTGCCTTACTTTTGTTTTCTTTTTTTTTTTCTGATTTTGTTCATAACTTGGGCCAGGAAAGATGCTCTTTCCTGGACCCTTCAGAGGCCTCAGTCTACATGATGATCAAAAGAACAATCCACCTGGAAAGTCTAACAGTCATGAACTTGTACTTAGTAACATAGTCTTGAGTTTAAAGAGGCAAATGCTGATAGGAATGTGAGTAGACAAATCCTCAGCTACAGTGGGAGATTTCAGGAACGCCTCTTAGATACCGATGGACCAAGCAGACACAAAAATTGTGAGGATACAGATTTGAACAACAACAAATTTGATCCTCTAACATACGTTCCTGATACATTCCTGAACTCAACAAAAGTTTTAAAAAAAGACATTCTTTTTCAAGCTCACATGGACATGAAAAAACAGTCCATGAATCAAGTTAGCAAATTTCAAATATAAATGTCTTATATGGGGGCTTCTTTTGTGGCTCAGCTGGTAAAGAATCTGCCTGTGATGCGGGAGATGTAGGTTCGATCCCTGGATTGGGAATATCTCCTAGAGAAGGGAAAGGCTACCCACTCCAGTATTCTGGCCTGGAGAATTCCATAGACTGTATAGACGATGAGGTCGCAAAGAGTTGTACACAACTGAGTGACTTTCTAACTAATGTAATAAGTTATATTCCCAGAATATACAAAAATTAAATTAGAAGTCAGCAATTAAAATGCTGAAAGATAAAACTCATACATTTGGAATGGTAAAAAAAAAAACCAATAAAAAAAACCCCCAAAGAAAACCCTCTTAAATAACTCATGTGCTGAAGGGGAAATCACAAAAGAACTGACAAAATATTTAGAACTAAGTGACAGTGGAAATACCACCTATCAATGTGTGGGATGCAGTTAAAGTGGTACTTAGGGAGAGATGTATAGTTTTAAATGCATTTGTAAAAGAGAAGAAAGATTCAGTGTGTAAGCATGCAAGTTGGGATGTTAGAAAACGTATGTTGTTGTTCAGTTGCTAAGTTGTATCCCACTCTTTGCGATCCCATCGACTGCAGCATGCCAGGTTCCCCTATCCTCCACTATCTATAGAGTCGGTGATGCTATCTAACTATTTCATCCTCTGCCTCCCCCTTCTCCTTTTGCCTTCAGTCTTTCCCAGCATCAGGGTCTTTCCCAATGAGTCAGCTCTTGGCATCAGGTGCCCAAAATATTGGAGCTTTAGCTTCAGCATCAGTCCCTCCAATGAAAATTCAGAGTTGACTTCCTTTAGGATTGACTGGTTTGATCTCTTTGCTGTCCAAGAGACTCTCAAGAGTCATCTCCAGCACCACAATTTGAAAGCATCAGTTATTTGGGGCTCAGCCTTCTTTATGGTCCAACTCTCACATCCATACATGACTACTGGAAAAAAACAACCATAGCTTTGACTGTACAGACCTTTGTCAGCAAAGTGTTGTCTCTGCTTTTTAATACACTATCTAGGTTTGTCATAGCTTTAGGCAAAGCAGAAACCAAAGAAAATAGAAGGAAAGAAAAAAGGCAAGCATAAGCTAGTGAAGTAGAAAGCAAAAAAAAAAAAAAAGAATAGAAATAGTAAACAAATTAAAAGCTATCTCTTTGAAAAGATTAATAAACTAACCCCCCAGCAAGGGCTGATAATGAAAACAGAAAAGATACCAACAGATACTATTTCTGCAATGAAGGAAGGGATACAACTACAAATAGAAATGAAGTCTTAAGAGAACACCAAAAACAGCTTTATATTAATGCATTTGATGGATAATTTTATAGAATAAAACATAAATTACCAAAATTGACTCAATGAGGAGTAGAAAACCTTAACATTCACCGTTAAAGAACCTAACTGGTAGCCAACAGTATCCTCCAAATGAAAAACAGTAGGCCCAGAGATTTCACAGACAGATTATAGCAAACCTTTAAGGGACAGAAAATTCCTATGATATACAAACTATTTCAAAGGATGAGATGCTTCCTAGCAATTTTTTGAGGCTTGATATTAAAACTTGACAAGGGAAGTACAAGAAAATAAAATAGACCAGTGTTGCTACTGAACATAGGTATGAAACTGTAAATGAAATATCAACAAGTTAAATTCAGGAGGATATGAAAAAAAAATAATACAGCATAAGCAAGTGAAGTTTTACCCAGGAAATGAAAAGATGGCTCAACAGAAATGTAATCCACCAGGTTAACAGATTAAAAACCATATGATGATCTCAGCAGATGCAGAAAAGCATTCGGTAGAATTCAACACTTTCATAATGTGCTGAATGAATCAGGGGAATGGGCTAAATTTAGAATCTTATGGTGAATCTCTTTATAAAGCAACTCTCATCCCATTTATATTTTGAGTAAGTCCAGATTTTCAAATATTAGGTTTTCTTTTCTTAAAGGTTTAATTGCATGTCAGACCCGAATATATCCAGAAGCTCTGCCCACTTCTGGAGAACACAAAAAACCCACCAAGTAGCAAAAAAATAATGTTGAATTTGAAGGTGACTATTTGCATTTCCTGTGTTTCAGTTGCAGTCAGCTGTACCCAGCAGGTTGTTTGAGTATCCATTTCCTGTGGGGTCCCTCAGTAGGATTCTGTTTTCCCATTTAAGTCGGGGGCACCCAGTGCCTGGGTCGGGTGGCGTGAGGCAGGTCTGACCCAGGGGTGACTTGAATCAAGCACCTGCTTTGTGGCCTGTCATGACCTCAGCCACCTTCCTCATTGACTCCATTTCTGTGAACTCTCCTTTCTCATCTTCATCCATCTCGTGAAAGGTGATCTTCACCCCTTCTCATCTTTTGGACGTGTATAGGTCCAAAGTGAAGACGGTGCATGAGCGGATTCCCTTGGCCGGACTGAGCAAGTTGCCCAGTGTCCCTCAGATTGCAAAGGTAAAAGCTGGCACCAAGAGGAGGTGGCTTCCTCTTTTAGGCCGGGTCTTGGGGGGCGCAGGCTTCTCCTGGGTGGGCTCTGCCTTTGGGAAGGAGGAGCCACTGTCCCCTTGGACCCTTGACTGCATGCATGGGGTGGGGGAGCTGTTGGTGGATACCCCCAAATCCCTACTCCATCTCATCCTTGTTGCTGAGGCTGCTCAGGGAACAGGCTGCTCTTACCCCAGGTTCTTACCCCAAGTTCCCAGCTAGTTCAGGAGACCAGAGAAATGGAGAGACAGGCCTGGATATGGAGAGTAGGGTGGGGCTTCAGAGGAGAATGGAGGGGAGGGGGTAGCTGGGAGCCTTCACAGCAGAGGATGGTTGGGGTTGAGGGATGGTCAGGCTGTTGATCCAGACAGAGGAGCCCCTCAGGTAAGGAACCATCAGTGGGTGTGGGGGGGGCCCGGGTCCCTTCTCTGGGATACTGGGAACTGAGTCAGAAAAGTAGGGCAGGAAGGATGATCAGCTGCATTGGGTTGGACCCACAGTCTGGGAGTGGGAAGGCCAGGCAGAACGGTGCTGGATACCTTTGGTGGCCTCACTTCAGTGGGAAACCCCAGGAAGGTCCCTAGACTTTCCTGACCACACACGAGTGACCAGCAGTGCCCAGCATCTGACCCCAGACCCCTGGGCCCTGCAGGTCGTGGCCTCATGCTCTTTCTTTCTCTTGGTGGGCGGGGCAGCCCAGGTGCGCTCCGTGGACGTGGTCCCTGAGCTGTGTGTTTCTCTCTCTCCGCTCAGGCTTTCTGTGACGACGCAGTGGGGCTGAAATTCAACCCTGTCCTGTACCCCAAGGTGAGGAACGTCCGCGTCCCCCTGACTCAGGCTGCTGCCGCTTGTCTTGGATTTGCATGCCTGTGGCTCTGTGGGAAGTTCTCTGCATCTTGGGGATTTTTGTGGGGTCTCCATGACAAACCTCTATGTCTTCCCCTCTCCCTGCCCACCCCTTCACAAACTGATCTGATGGAAACCCGTCCTCAGCCATGCCTGGGTCTCCGGCCCCCATCCATTGGTCTCCAGTTTCGTGGAGACAGCAGATGGGCAACAGTTTCTCCGTCTCACCCTGATTGAACCTCCCCAAGGCGGGTGCTGGGCTGGGGAGTGATTCTGCCTCTAGGTGGGGGGCTGCTGCAGACCTGGTCAGCCATGAGCATAGAGTGGGGGAGCGAGCAGAAGGCAGAACCCCACTAAGAAATACAAGGCCAGACCTTGGCTCCCCGTTGCCGACATTACTGCAGTTCTGAGGTCTCACAAGCTAGGCCTCTTCTGCCGGGCTCTAGTTAATTGACTCGGCTGGTCCTCTTTTAACAGCTTCTTTAGGATTGGCCTGATCTTGACCCAGTTCTGATGTGGGGGTGTGGGTGGGGAGAAAACCAGTACTAACAAAACGAACTCATAAGCCCACTTAAGAACAACTTGGCGTGAAAGGACCTAAATCATGCATGGACAGTGAATTGCTTTAAATCGGTCACAGGGGGATTTCCTTGGTAGTCCAGTGGTTAAGATTTCAAGTTCCCAATGCTGGGGCATGGGTTTGATCCACGGTCGGGAAACTAGATCTCACATGCTGCACAGTGCTGCCAAAAAGTAAAAATACAATTTTTTTTTAAATGAAAAAAAATTGGCTATAGGAAGAGACTCAGGGCATTGGCTACTGTTTTGCACGCCTGCAGGGTGTAGGCAGAGATCATGCAAGCTCGTTGGTGTTCCCAAGCGTACACTGTGGGCCAGCTGAAGCTGGCTGGGGCTGGTCAGTCCATTTCCTGAGTCCCGGTTCTGACAACCAGGAACCAGGAGGTGAAACGTGCGGTGGGGGTGTGTATGAAGAGGGACCCTGTACTGGCTGGAACACCCCAAGCCCCTAGAACCAACACCCCAGATCTTCACGACTGTGCTGGACACACTATTTGTCCCCGTGCGGTGGCAGAGTTAATGGCAGAATCTTCTCCCATGTGGAGAATGTGCCAGAATCCTTCTCCTCTAAGACAGCTCTTTCACTGCATCCGAGCATCCAAGGCACTTCCCAGTAAAATGCTGCGCTCCATCGAACATTTTCTGTCACTCAGACTGCCCTCCCCTTTGTAATTAAAGCTGAATTACTGAGGTTTAACCAAACGTCAAAACCCCATCATAAAGTCCTAACTTAATTACAAATTTGGCAATTTTTGTTGTCAAATCATAGCCACCGATGACTCTCATTTTTGTAGTGTTCTCTCTGTAGCTTGTAAAGCCTCCGGCTCTGGGAATAATGGAAGAGCAGCTGTATTTTCATGTTTTCTAGATAGGAAGGATTGCTTCGTCCGGCTGGGATGTTCATCTGGCTGAGATGTGTGCATGTTTTTACAGTTCACAGAGTTTAGAATGTTCCTTGGAGGGTGTCCATGGCTCAGTGCCTCTTCCTGGGCAGGGCAACTGCTCCGAGCCTTTGACTCATCCCAGGCGGGAGTCGGGGGGCGCCCTCTGGGGTCGGGCAGTGCTGATCTTCCAGGTGAAGCTGAGATGTGTCCGTTTTATCAGGCAGCTGAGAGCCACAGAGAGAGATGTCAGGGGTGATAGCTGACGTGGGTCACGTACTCGGGCCAACAAGTCGTGCCTGGTTTGTTCTTCCCGTAGCATCTCATGTGGTCGAATCCTTCCTTTTTATTGCAGAGAACAGCCACCAAGTCTTTTCTTTCCTAACAGTCTGGTCCAGCTCTGATCTTTCTAGTGGGTTTACCTAGATGTTGATGATAATCACCGCTGTGTGCTCTGTACTTCATATGCCCCATTTCCCTGAATCTTCACATTCACATGTCTTCATTGAACAGATGAGAAAACTGAAGCCCAAGGAAGTTAAGTGCACAGGTAAAAGCAGTGGACTGAAAATTAGAGATTAGTGTTTCTGACCAACTCTTTGAAACACAAGAGACAATTAGATGGAACCAATGGTCTGGATTTTTTGTTTGTTTTTTCTTTGCTTATTGAATTAGGGTATGTTCCTCCTTAGAGATCTCTCATTTTATGGATAAGGGGGACTGAAGTCTGGACAGGAGCAGCGCCTTGCTCAAAACCACTCTGCTGGACTTCCCTGGTGGTCCAGTGATTAAGAATCTGCCTGCCAGTGCAGGGGACATGGGTTCGATCCCTGTTTGATCCCTGATGCAGGAAGATCCCATGTGCTATAGAGCAGCTAAGCTTGTGTGCCACAACTACTAAAGACTGTGTTCTCTGGAGCCCGTGCTTCGCAACAAGAGAAGCCGCTGCAATGAGAAGCCCATGCACCGCAATTAAGAGTAGCCCCACTTGCCTCACATAGAGAAAGCCCGTGCACAGCAGTGAAGATCCAGCACAGCCAAAACAAAAAAAGTCACACTGCTGATGAGAGGTGAAATTAGAGCTAGCATCATCCTTGATGACTATGGTTTTGGGGTCCCAGCTTCACTTTTCAGTCCCCAGATAAAAACACTGGGGTCAAGTCAGTTCCCTGTGTCCTGCTGGACTATCTGTGTGCACAGGCATTGGCTGAGAGATCTAGATGGAAATGGAGTGGGTGACCCAGAGGTTTCATCACTGGGGGAAAGCCCAGGGGCTGGAAGCTAGCTGAGACCTTCGGAGCTGCATCCTGAGTGTGTACTTGACTTCATCTCTTCTCTTCCTCCATGTGTGGACATCTCATATCAACTGGGGCCCGTCCGCCACTGAAATGGGTACTTCCACCTGCCTCCTCGCTCTGCCTCCAGGTTAATAATCTGATTTCTTTTATTCCCACGTTTTCCAGGCCTCCCAAATGATTGTGGCCTACGACGAGCATGATGTCAACAACACATTCAAATTCGGGGTCATTTACCAGAAAGCCAGGCAGGTAAGCATCACGAATCCACACTGCTCACTTGAGCCTGTGCTTTCTCCCTGGGGACGCTTGTTTTTCCATTTCCCACACACAAGAGCGCCTGGATTAGGTTCTTAAATATTGTGAGTACAACCATCCTGTCCAGATAAGAATTAGACTGGAGGTGGCAGAGTCTTCAAGGTAGGCTGCTGCTCTCAAAAAGGCTTGCATATCCTTGAAACAGCGATATAATTTTTCATTCAGTGAATTCTAGTTTTTGCTGGCTTACTTCTGCTTGTGTTTAATAATGGTCTGTTGGTCACAAGAAAAATCAGATGGGGTGGAGGGGAATGGCTTAATGAAGGCTGCTTTCTTTCTGCCCACCACTCTCCCTGCTGGGAATTCGCTTGTGCTCCCCAGATGTGAGTAGTGTCCTGGCATTGACTGTGTGCTCTCTGCCCAGGTCTGTGTTCATTGATGTCATGCTGGTGGCTTCCAATAAGCCATGATGAAAGTGTTCACACCATGGAAATGGGCAGACACCAGAGTTGCTGTTTTTTTCTCTCTTTGGAGAGCAAGTTGTTAAAATTTTTACTAGTACACCCTGTTCATCCTTCTCTGTCTCTTGGGGTGCTTCATGTGCTGCTTTGGAGTCTTTTGACAGGAACGGTGTTTCTCAAAGTGTGTTCTGTGAGACCCTAGTTGACCAGAATGGTGTTTCTCAAAGTGTGTTCCATGAGACCCTAGTTGACCAAAATGGTATTTCTCAAAATGTGTTCCGTGAGATCTTAGTTGACCAGAATGGTGTTTCTCAAAGTATGTTCCATGAGTCCGGTGAGGTACTCTATGAACAAATGAGTTCCGGGGGGAGTGATCAGTTGTGTGGGAACATTTTAAAGGTTCTGAGAACCCTCAAAGTAGATAACACTTTATAACTTTGTTGAACTCAGTATTTCCCATACTCATTTGACCACAAACTTCCCATCTTTCCTACCATGAACATTTATTAACATCCTGAGAAGTGGTCGGCTGAACATACCACTATTTCCTCATCTGTGTTGTATGGGAGAAGGTTCCACATCCATTTCATCTTCGTATCATCCAAGGGCCTAGCCCAGTGACTTTATAGAAATACACTCAAGTTTTTTTCTTTTAGGGATCCAGTGATAAATTTGCAAATTGTTTTTTTTTTTTTTGCACTTCCATAATTTTATTTTATTTTATTTTTATTTTTATTTTTCCATTTATTTTTATTAATTACTTTACATCATTGCAGTGGTTTTTGTCATACATTGAAATGAATTAGCCATGGATTTACATGTATTCCCCATCCCGGTCCCCCCTCCCACCTCCCTCTCCACCCGATCCCTCTGGGTCTTCCCAGTGCACCAGGTCCAAGCACTTGTCTCATGCACCCAACCTGGGCTGGTGATCTGTTTCACCCTACATGATATACATGTTTCGATGCTGTTCTCTTGAAACATCCCACCCTCGCCTTCTCCCAGAGTCCACAAGTCTGTTCTATACATCTGAGTCTCTTTTTCTGTTTTGCATATAGGGTTATCGTTACCATCTTTCTAAATTCCATATATATGTGTTAGTATACTGTAATGGTCTTTATCTTTCTGGCTTACTTTGCTCTGTATAATGGGCTCCAGTTTCATCCATCTCATTAGAACTGATTCAAATGAATTCTTTTTAATGGCTGAGTAATATTCCATGGTGTATATGTACCACAGCTTCCTCATCCATTGGTCTGCTGATGGGCATCTAGGTTGCTTCCATGTCCTGGCTATTATAAACAGTGCTGCGATGAACATTGGGGTGCACATGTCTCTTTCAGATCTGGTTTCCTCGGTGTGAAATACACTCAAGTTTTTGTTACCTGAATGAATGAATGAATAAAAGTTTTGGCCTTCCTGATGATAGGTCAATAGTATTTTTCAGTATTACCTCTGTCATCTCTTTTGTGTGACAACATCTTTCTTGGCTGGATGATAGCTGACTTCCTTGTCTGAAGATATTAGACCACAAGAGGCATGTGTTTGCTTAAAAACTCTCTAATTAATGAAGGCTTGAGGAGCTGAAAGACCAACACAGATGAATCTTATAATGTAAGGGAATTATTCAAGTAGCTGCTCTAATTATTTTCATATATTGCATTTTTATTTTGTACAGCTCTGATAATACAGTCCCACTAATTAAAGTTCTTTGCTTGTGAAATTTACCAAAGCAGATCTCATAAGGTGATTACAGCCCAATGTTCCAGCAAAATTATAATTACTGAACATTAACCATCCACCTCAGAGAAGGAATCTGAGGGAGTCTGCATGTTGTTTATGTACCTGACGTAACTGAGGCAAGGAGTGGGTGCAAGGACAGATAAAAGTCTCTTCTTAAAAAACATGGATTGTTGCAAACCTACATTAGGAGGGATTAATATGAACACTTGCTGTGTGAAAGCCCCGTGCTGGCCCTAGGATGTAAATAAGCCCCAGCTGACTCTTTGTCAGGCACTTTGCTAAGCACTGTGGAGGATACAGCAATGACTTGGAAGCCCCCCCCCCCCCCCCGAATGCATGATCAAGCTCAAGGCCAATACAAAAATAAAGGCAGTAATCCCAGACAGAGTTAAATCCTGGAGAGAGGTACACACCCCAGAACATAAGCTAGATTGTCTTTTTTTCAGGAGAAGATGTACATTGACTGGAAGTGGTTATTCTACTGAACCCTAGCTTCCTGACCTGAGGCAGACAGCGTATTGGGCTAGAGTTGGGCTAGATCAGGCTTTGGGAAACATTTTCTGGAAAGGGCCAGACAGTAAGTATTTTAGACTTCTCGGACCATACTGTTTGTGTTGCAGCTATTCAACCTTACCTTTGTAGTACAGAAGGAGCCACAGACAATATTAAATGAATTGGCCTGGTTGTGTTCCAATAAAACTTTATTTATAAAACAGGCAGCAGGCCAGACTCGGCACCCCGGGACATAGTCTGCTGGCCCCTGCATTGTTTCTCCAACTTTAGACATTTACAAACCATATCCAAGATCATATCATTCTACTCTTCTGTTTTTTTAAATTGCACCTATACTGTACTTCCCAGGTGGCTGAGTAGTAAAGAATTCTCCTACCAGTGCAGGAGACATGGGTTCAATCCCTGGGTCGGGAAGACCCCCTGGAGAAGGAACCCGCTCCAATATTCTTGCCTTTGAAATCCCATGGACAGAGGAGCCTGGCGGGCTACAGTCCATGGGTTCACAAAAGAGCTGGACATGGCTTAGCAACTAAACAACAAAAACAACAATCACAGTCTTTGTAACCATTCACCCACCGAGGGGCAGACAGCTGGGTTGTTTTCAGTTTGGGGCTATGATGGATAAAGCCACTGTGAACATTTGTATACAGTTTTTTATGTGGGCAGAAGTTTTTATTTCTCTGGGATAAATATTTAGGAAGACAATTGCCTGGGTGTGTGGTGATTATATGCTTAGTTTTGTAAGAAACTACCAAGCTGTCTCCTAGCATAGTTGTTCCATTTTACATTCCTCCCAGCAATGTGTGAGCGATCCGTTTTCATTACATCCTTGCCAGCATTTGGTGCTGTGACTATTTTTCATTTTAGCCATTCCAGTACATGTGTGGTGAGATCTCATTGTGGTTTTAATTTGCACCTCTCTAATGGATAGCGATGGGGCTTCCCTGATGGCTCAATGGGTAAGGAATCTTCCTGCAATGCTGGAGACACGGGTTTGATCTCTGGGTCAGGAAGATTCCCCTGGAGGAGGAAATGGCAACCGACTCCAGTATTCTTGCCTGGGAAGTCCCATGGACAGAGGAGCCTGGCAAGCTACAGTCTGTGGGGTCGCAAAGAGTTGGACACAGTGAGCCACTAAGCACATGTACAAGCACAATGTCTAATAACAGTGAGCATCTTTTCTCACCTGAACATCATATTTGTCGTCTGTATATCCTCTTGAGTGAAATGACTGTTCATGTCCTTTGACCATTTCCTAATAGGATTTTTTTTCTACTGTTGAGTTTAAAATTTTTAAATAACAGGTTTATTGAGGTGTAACTGACATACTATACAATTCACAACAGCATGTGACTTATATCTCAATAAAGTGCACAATTCAGTGGTTTGTAGTATATTCACAGAATTGTGCAGTTATTACCACTAACTACAGAAAAGTTTCATCACCCCTAAAAGAAACTCCATACCTAATAGTCACTCCTATCATCCCCATTCTCTGTAGCTCCTGTCAGCCACATATCTATTTCTACTATTTCTGCGGATTTGTTGGATATTTCATATAAATGGAATCATAATATGTGGCCTTTGATGTCTAGTTCTTTTACTTAGCATGATGCTTTCAAGGTTCATTCGTGTTGTGCAAAGAATCAGTACTTTATTCTTTTTTTATGGCTGAATTATATCCCATTATGGATATACCACATTTTAGCTTCCCTGGTTGTTCAGATGGTAAAGACTCTGTAATGCAGAGAGACACGGGTTTGATCCCTGGGTTGGGAAGATCCCCCTGGAGAAGGGACTGCCTACCCACTCTAGCATTCTTGCCTGGAGAATCCCATGGACAGAGGAGCCTGGAAGGCTACAGTCCATGGGGTCGAGAAGAATCAGAGACAACTGAGTGACTGTCACTTTCACCACGTTTTGTTTATCTGTTTATCAGTGGATGGACATTTTGGTTGTTTCCACCCTGGGAGTATTTAATACTATTATTAACATTTGTATACAAGCTCTTTTTTGTGTGAACTGTTGTTTTCATGTCTCGGGTATATTCTTAGGAGTGGAATTGCTGGTCATATGGTAACCCCATGTTTAGCTTTTTGAGTAACTGCCAGACTATTTTCCAAAGAAATGGCACCATTTTACATTCCCACCTGCAATGTATGAAGGTTTTGATTTTTCCATACCCTCACCAACACTTCTTGTTGACTTTCTTTTTGATTGTAGTGTGAAGTGCTGTCTCACTGTGGTTTTGATTACTATTGAGTTTTGAGAGTTCTTTATGTATTTCCGATACAAATCCTTTGTCAGAAGTCCTATTATGAATTTTTCAGTTTTGGATTGGTTTATGGTATCAAGTCTAAGAACTCTTTCCTTCAGCTTTGTCCTTTTATTTTTTCCTTGAGACTCAATTTATTTTCTGTACCTACTACACAGTGTTGTTGTAAAGACACCATGGTGAAAGCATTTTGTAAATTCTCAAGTACTTTAAAAAGTCACGTATTAATATTATCATATAGTATGCAATGAAAGCATGGCTAACTAGATTAGAAGTTATATATCCATAGGCTTGGGAAAACGTATTATCCATTAAACTTTGCAAGCTTTTAAAAAATCAAGATATCTGAATACTGGTCATGCCTTTTTCTTTTCAAAGTGGTCAGTGAACAGTAGCTCTTGTTCAAATAGAAATCTTCATTAATCGCTCCCCAAAATCCAGCTCTGTTCAGTGAGCCCCATTAGTCCTTTCTCCTGAGCATGACAGAGCCACTGGATGGCGACTATGCGGAATGGGGAAAGGAAGAAAGGGACAAGGTATCCAGACAACCACATTCCCTCCCTTGGTGGCACCAATAAGTCTTTTTTTTTTTTTTTCCTGAACTCTTGTCCCTGATTCTGTTTCTGTTTCAGACCCTGGAGGAGGAACTGTTTGGGAACAATGAAGAGAGCCCAGCCTTCAAGGAGTTCTTGGAACTGCTAGGGGACACAGTCACGCTGCAGGACTTCAAAGGGTGAGTTTTAGCCAAGTGATGGTTCTGTCCCCATTGAGGAAGCCCTAGAGGAAGGGTGAGAGCCACAGCTGAGTTTCAGCAGGGAGGGGGCATGTGAGAGTTAAAAACACACACAAGGAACCTGGGATTACTTTTCAGTAAGTGCTCAACATTCATTGATTGCATCTCTAAGGAATTTGTGGTATAGGTGGTGGTGGTCGTTTAGTCGCTAAGTCGTGTCTGACTCTTGCGACCCCATGGACTGTGGCCCCCCAGGCTCCTCTGTCTGTGGGATTCTCCAGGCAGGAATACTGGAGTGGGTTGCCATTTCCTTCTCCATGTGGTACAGGGGATAATCCCAAACGGCAGATGACCTGAATCAAGGCATTGACTTTTGCCCTTGGGATGCATGATGAAATCGTTCCACTTGAGATTTGCCTTCCTAATTACAGTTGGCTCAAACTGAGAGTTAAATGAATCCACCTTCCATTCCAGAAGAGCAGGTCATTCACCTGCTAGGCATTCTGGAAAGAGAGTCCTGTGTAGTTTGGGGTTGGGGGGCGGGAAGTGACCATTTTAGATAATACACAAAAAAATTGGGTAATAGAGTTGGTGCAAATACCATAATCCTTCTGGCAGGAATCTGTGCAACAGCCTCTGGTTCTGTAAGTGGACAGAGAGAATATTGGGACGGTTGCTTTGAAAACTCAGTCCTTTATTTCCTTTGACAAAGGCAACCCTTGGGGACGGCCTTCAGACCTGGCCAACCTATTCTTTGCTTTGTGGCTGGAGCACAACTAAACCCTCAGATTTCTCCACCTCAACAGCCACCTTAACGGGATTTCCGAACGTGTGAATGCACCTAGCTCCGTGCCTGGCATGGCATAGGTGTTCAGTAATCACTTACTTCCTCTGCTCCCTTCTCTCCTTTTCCTTCTCCTTTTACCTTTTCCCTTCTTCCTCTCCCTTCAAGGTCATCACTGCTGTCTAGAGTCAGTCACACATGGGTCTAAATCTTATCCCTGCTACTTATTAGCTCTGTGATTTTGAACAAGAGGTTGAGAGGACTTAACCTCTGCAAACCTCAGTTTCCTTGTCTATAAAAAGGGAGATAAAGATAGCACTGACCCTACAAGCTTTTTGAAGAATTAAAATGGATAATGCACAGGAAGCACTTAAGCCAGTTTCATGCACAGAGTAAGTACTGGATGTCGTTATTATTGTTCTTATTATACCACTTACCATTGACTCTAAGATGCCATCCTTACAAGATATATCCTGCGACTACCCTGCTGGTCCAGTGGTTAAGATTCTGAACTTTCATTCCACGGGGCAAGGGTTGGGGAACTAAGATCCTGTATGCTGCAGGGAAAGTGAAAGTCGCTCAGTCGTGTCCGACTCTTTGCGACCCCATGGACTATACAGTCAATGGAATTCTCTAGGCTAGAATACTGGAGTGGGTAGCCTTTCCCTTCTCCAGGGGATCTTCCCAACCCAGAGATCGAACCCAAGTCTCCCACATTGCAGGTGGCTTCTTTACCAGCTGAGCCACAAGGGAAGCCCTTGTGCTTCAGAGAAGCTGCACAGAGTGGCCCCCCAAATGAATAAAACATCAAAAATAAAATACAGGGTATATCTTGATTTCAGAGATATTAAAATGTCAAAAAAATGTTACATCTTGCAGTTGATGAGATAAAGTACTCAAAGAACCCTGGATACACGAAGGATACACAAAGGATAAAACCACAAAGGACTCTGGAGATCATATAACCCTATCCCTTTATTTTCTGAGGCCTGGAGAGATTAAGTGATGTGCCCAGTGGCGTATGCTGACTTCATGACAGAAGCTGGTCTAGAACCTGTGGAGCTCCTAGCTCCCGGCCTCCTGTGCTTTCCTCCATGTGGGGCTGAGCACACTTCTGGCTTGAACTGCAGTGTTTGGGGGTTGGGGAGGACTTGATGTCCAGGGTCTATTTTATTTCATTTTCTTAAAGGAACCTGTATCCTACTCTGCTTGCTAAAGGATATGATCACGACCCACAGCCATGTTTCTATAAAGGAAGAAGGTGCAACTCCTAGAAGTCCACCCAGTTCCTTAGTATTTTTCTTTCCTGCCTGTGAGGAGGTAGCCAGAGGAGGGAGCCCCTGGGATACCTCCCAGCTGGGTGTTGCCATGGCGGGGGAGGGGAAATCTCCACTTTTGGGACTGAGTGGGTAGAAGTCAGGCGTCTGTCCCCTCTTCTTGCTGACTCCGGACACTCGGGGGGCAGTGGGGCTCATCACCATCAGGATGCCCGACTGCCCTGGCTCAGGGCTGCGGACCTGCCCTTGCAGAGAGAAGGGCTTACGCCCAGGCTTGGGGGCCCCTAATAGCTGGGGCGGCATTTGTCTGAAACTGTGGCTGGACCTCCATCTTCCCATGGTGTGGAAGGGGCTTGGCCGAGGCTTGGAATGGAGGATCTGTCTTTGTCTTTTAAATAATAATTTGTGGTTGGAACACCAGGGCTCATCTGCTCAGATGAGGGTTATCTGCTTTCCCCACATGGTAATCTCTCTGCCCTCTGCTCTTCCATGTCTTCCCATTCATTCTTCTGCCCCATGTCCTTAGGGAAGGTTGTGCCAAGTCGCCCACTTCCCTTTTTTCTCTCTCTCCCTGCCACCCCCTGCCTGTTTCCCTGACAGTTTCCGAGGAGGCCTGGACGTGACCCACGGACAGACGGGGGTGGAGTCAGTGTACACGATATTCCGGGACAGGGAGATCATGTTCCATGTCTCCACAAAGCTGCCGTTTACCGAGGGAGACACCCAGCAGGTAACCGTGTTCAGGATGGCTTTGGGAGCCCGGGGCATGCGAGGTGAAAACCTGGATTCAGGCTGGTGTCCCCCCAGGGCCCGAGGCCCCTTTTCCCATTTTCATAATCTAGAGGCCTGTCTGTTCAACTTTGTTCTTCTTATCAAAACCTGTCCTACTGCATTGTCAGACCGAGGCTGCAGGTCACTAGCCTGGGTGGGAGGTGGGACAGAGTTCTCGGGTACCCCTGTGACTGATGGGGAAACAGTAGTTAAAAGACTGTTTCCCAGGTGATAGGGGCAGCGTTGGGAGCAGAGTCCAGGTGCCCTGATCGTGGAGAGTGGTGATGAAAGAGTACATGATGGGGTCTGCACATGGCAGCTTGAAGCCAGCTCTGCCACCTTAGGGCTTTGTGACTCTGGGCAAGCTGGTAACTGTGGCCTCATTCATCTCATCTGTAAAATGGGGGTTATACCACAAATGTCAGAGGGTAGTGGTGGAGATCACGTAGGGTTCTGATTGTAGGGCTCAGTACAATGCCTGACTTGTGGCAGACTTCCTACCTCGCAGCTGTTCACTGCCCACCCTTCTGGCCCAGAGATGTAATGCTGGTTATTGCACGAGACACCCCCTCACCCCCCTACAGCTTTTCTAATCACACAGCCTCACCTCTCAGTGCGCCTGCTGTGGGCAGGAATCCAGCCTTCTGCTTGACTGGAAAACCCTGGATGAGACTGCTTTCCCTCTCATTTGCTGCACAGACAGTTGCATGTCCTCAGGGAGGACCTGGCTTTTTTTTTCCTTCTTTTTTTAGTTTTGTTACTTTATTTATTTTTTATTATTTTTTTTCCAGGTTGTGATTTATTGATGTTTTTAAAAAAAATGTTCTTTGACAAGCAGCATTTTTAAATTTAATGATGTGTAGCTTTGAATTTACTCCTTTAAATTTTTAATGCATTTTTGGTATCTTGTCTAAGAAATATTTGCCTTTTCTCAAGTCATAAAGGTATTTGCCCAGTTTTTTTAAAAAGTTATTTTTAATGGGATGATAGTTGCTTTACAATGTTGTTAGTTTCTGCTGCACAACAACATGAATCAGCCGTTAAGTATACACGTAACCCCTCTACCTTGGGCCTCCCTCCCACCTCCCACTCTCCAGCCCCCCGTCTAGGTAATCACAGGGCACGGAGCTGAGCTCCTGGGGCAGGACAGTGGCTTCCTTCTAGTTATCTGTTTTACACATGAGGTCGTATGTATATGTCAATGCTACTCTCTCACCATCTCCTTGTCCCACCATCTCCTTCCTTGCTAGGTCCACAAGTCCATTCTCTACGGCTGCATCTCTATTCCTGCCCTGCAAATAGGTTTTTTTTTTTTTTAAAGAGGAGTTGTTTTGTTGGTGAAATAGTCATTTTATTTATTTATTTACTCATTTTGGCCGTGCTCTGTGGCATGCAGGGTCTTAGTTCCCTGACCAGGGATGGAACCCGGGTCCTTGGCAGGGAGAGTCCAGAGTCGTAACCACTGGACTGCCAGGGAATTTCCAACCTACCTTTCTTCCTCATTGAGCCCTGAAACCAGTAGCTGGTCCCTGCTGTGGCCCCGTTGGCCCCGTCCCACCCTTTGTACCATTTTAGTCTCTAGGAAGATAAGGAAGGAACTTGGGCCTTTCACCAAACTCGGACTCTTGTTTCTGAGCAGGGAACCCGGGAGGGAGCACAGATGTAATATTATAAACATAGTGCCTGGCTTCTTAGGAAAAAAGGAAATTGGCAAAGGAGACTGTGATTTGGCTCTAAAATAACTACTGAATGTTCCAGAAACAAATAGGAGCAGGATTCCTTTTGTATCTAAAGTAGGTTTTTGCTCAGTGTTTTACCTTCAGCTCTGTTCCTTCACAGCCCCCCTCACCCCCTGCCCAGCCTAAGACTGAGGGCTGTTCTCTGCCTGCCTCAGTGTCTCCTCTGTTAAGTGGGACGTGCACAGAGCTTGACTCTCAGCAAGGACTGAATAGATATTAATTTTTCATCAGAAGAAATAGGATGATGTGTGTGGAATAAGTGAGACGATTTGTAAAAGTACCCAGCACAGGGCTCAGTATACAGCAGGTGCTCAGTAAGTGGGAAACTCAATGGGAAACATAGTTTGCATGCAGTAGCTGCTTAATAAAGGAACAAAGCTAGATAAGTACCTAGCCAGGATTTGGTATACAGGAGGGCCTCAACATTTGAAGTCATGCATGTGAACAGCCCAGTGTGGTTCCTGGCACACAGTAGGTGCTTGGTGATTGAGATCTCCTGTGACAGCACCTGGCGGAACCTGGGATCCTAAATCGGGGTCAGATTTTTCTCTCCCCCATGACTGCCACCAAGCCAGGTTGCCCATATTTCTCTAAGCCTGGTTCTTCTCCCTTCTGGCCCCTCCTTCCCGCTCATCCACATTTCCATCAAGTGCTCCCTTCTCTCCCAATCTCCTCTTCCAGGAAGTCTTCTTAGATTACCATTAGGCCTCTGACTTTGCCCCCTTCTCTGCCCCCATAGTATCAGGCACTTTGTGGGTAGTGACTGATTCAGCAATTGCTAAATCGCTTTGTTAGTGGCTTTGTTAGTGTTCTCAGGTGGCTCCACCAGCGTTTGTATTCCTCCCAGGTTAATTGTGAGCTCTCCAAGGGCAAAACCCAGCCTCACTTTTTAACCATTTTCCCTGAGTCCTGAGTCAGAGCTAACTCTAAATGCTGTAGAGCTTGGTCCCGACAACTTAGACATTTTTCTCATTTTTTTCCTTTTTAGTAGCTTGTAAAGATTGAAAGAAAAAGCTCCCTGGAGAGAGAGGTCTCTGTGTCCCAGGGTTTATGTATAAAGATAGAATAATGAAGAATTTCCTATATAGACCTGTTCTGTTTTCAGGATGTTCCTAACTGGCTTAGAATAATGGAAATCTTTTTGTTTAGCTCCAGAGAAAGAGACACATCGGGAATGACATTGTGGCCATCATCTTCCAAGAAGAAAACACACCGTTTGTCCCAGACATGATTGCCTCCAACTTCTTACACGCCTACATTGTTGTGCAGGCCGAGAACCCGGGCACAGAGCCCCCATCCTACAAGGTGAGGAGAAAGTCGCGTTGGAGGAAGGACATAGAATGAGTAAATCCGAGGAACACCAGGGCTTCGTGGCTCCTCAGACCATTCTCCGAAAATGTGATAGATTTCCCATGAATTCTCGGGCTTCTGGGATTTGGGAGCGAGACTCTTGGAGAGCGCCTTCTGAAGTCACCTCAATCCATCTTGCTGCCCCTGGGCTTCCCAACCTCCAAGGCTCCCAGCCTTCAGGGGTTGAAGAGCTCCCTGTGTCCCTACCTGGAATCTGGTAATGCCGTTTCCTAGAGCAGGGAAGAGCCAGAGAAGAGTGAAAGAGAAAAAGGGGGGAGGGCTGTCAGGAAAGGGGAGAGGAAGGAGGGTGGCATCAAACAAAGGGAAGAAAGAAAAAGGAGAGATGTTCATGGTGAGAAGGGTGGAGAGCATGGGACCTGGTAGACCCTGGCCCCTAGGCGGGCCCTCTGACTTAGCCGTTCTGGGCAAATGATCTCGATTTGAAGACTCACAGCGGGCCGGGGTTGTGAGCCCCTGGGTCTAAGCCTCCTGACGCATTGACTCAGAATCCTCGGGGTTGTAGCTGAGCCTCAGTTGCCCTCACTTTGCCCCCTCCTGATGGCTGTGTTGCTAAACCTCTCCTTTGCTTCTCCATGAGGACTGAGTTCAACCCCCTGGGTAACAGCTTCTCTATATCACGGTGGTGTTGGGATGCCTGGGGTCCTAGGGAGATAGACTGAGGCAGAGTTTTTAACGTGGATATTCGACAGTCTTTGAACTCCTTGTAGATAAGGACAAAATGTCAAGTTCACATGCTTCTTTGTGTTTTCTGGGGAGAGAGGCCATAGCTCAAATTCTCAGAGAGCTCCATGCTCCCCATTAGGAATCACTGTTGTAAGGGAGAGGGAAAAGGAGCCTGGGAAAAGGAAACCGTAGGCCTGAAATGTTTCCTGTGCATTTATTTATATGTATTTTGGGTTGCACTGGGTCTTTGTTGCTGAGCTCCAGCTTTCTCTAGTTGTGGCGAGCAGGGGCTACTCTGCGTCGCAATATGTGGGCTTCTCGGTGCAGTGGCTGCTCTCGCGGAGCACGGCCTGTGGGGCGGGAGGACTTCAGTACCCGTGGCACACAGGCTCGGCAGTTGCGGCTTGTGGACTCTAGAGCACAGGCTCAGAAGTGGTGCATGGGCTTGGTTGCTCTGCAACATGTGGAATCTTCCCCGACCAAGGATCGAACCCACCTCCCCCGCTTGGCAGGTCTCTGTTCTCTCTATAGTAGCTGAGGCCAGTGCTGGCCTCTGGGGTTCCTGAGCCCATAGCACTTCATAGCCATCTTTACACAGTATCAATTTTGCCTGAATATTTTGGGAAAGAAAAATGCTGTTATATAATCATGTTATATAATTTTTATACTAGTACAAATCCAAGTGTATTAAGTACAAAATTCACATCAGCTTTAAAGCCAGATAGGAGGCTTCAGAATAAAACAAAGCTTCCCCCCTACTCTCTTGTTGAGAAGAGCTGATTCCTTTACATGCCCACGTTCATCCTCTTCTGGTGTTGAGCAGTTTTAGCTGAAAAGTTGGAGAAGCCACGCTTTGGGTGTTTCCTTGAAGGCTTTGACGGACATGGGTGGTCACTTCAAACAGAGGCTTGATTGACTTGTCGGTGGAAGTAAGTGTTCTCGTTCACTGCCTGCTGTCTGTGGGCACTTGGCAGTGACATAAAAAACCAGTTTCAGGGAAGGGACAGAAGAGGCCGTGAGTGCAGTTCAACAATTGGGACACTCAGACAGCCACCTGGGTCTTCTAATAGCCAGTGGAGGCCAAGAAGGAGCCTCAGAGATGTGTGATAGGAGGCCTCCCAGGCCCTGCCAATCAGTCATTATATGTACATATGGCTCATCTGCTGGCTGAATGAAGCCTCTTGTGGATGTTTTGTATCTGCTTTTAGTTCCTGATAGGAAATGGGGTTCTGCTAACTGGCTCTTCAGTTTCCAAGAGCTTTAGCAGAATGGGAAAATAGAAGAGAGAAAAAAAATCAAAGATCCAAGGAAGTACCACTCCATCTGCAATGGTGATGCTGGAAGTCTTTATAAACCTAGTCTCCCCAGCCACAGTCTCTGGTCCAGGGAAACGCACGGTTCTCAGGGAGAGTGTGAGAACCAGAGCTCATAAGGAGAGGGGGCTGCCCATGGAATGTGGTACCTCGGGCTCCGCCTGCCAGACAGAACTGAAGCCAGAAGGCAAGACCTGTGAGTGGGGGCTGGGTCCGGGGAGGGGGCGGGGCAGGGAGGAAGATTAGCCTTTCAAGGTGCTCCCCAAAGCTTTGTCTATGCATGCCCCCAGCAGCACTCCAGTGACGCGCAGACTGAGGACGACATGGTTAGATCCTTCAAGGGGTCCAGGTGTCACCCCTGAAGGCCTAGGGGCTATGGCAAAGGAGGGTGAGATTTTCTTGGGGACTGAGCAAGTGTCCCAGGGGCCCCCGCTGGGGAGGACAAACAACAGGAAAGAAGAGGAAGGGGTGAAGGACAGAGGTGGAAATATGCAGGAAAGGTCCCCAGACGGAGAAGCTCTGAAATCCGGAGTTTGGTCCTGGCCCTGCCTCTGACTGCTGTGTGACCCTGGGTCGTTCCTTCCCTCTCTGGGTCTCTGTTGCCTTCTGTGTGAAATGAGGAAGTTGGAGTAGGCAATCTCAGATCCTTCTAGTTCTGACATGCTGAGTGGGGAAGTAGGGGGAGTTGAGAAAGACGGGTGTGTGTGTAGATTAAGAAGTGGTTTGGGGGAACTCTATAGTATTTCAGGTGTCCTTTATTAGGTGCAGGTCAGCATGGAAAATACTAAAAGCTTTGTGTGAAAATGGTTACCCTTACTGGGCATCTGATCTTGCCGGACACTGTGCTTGGCCCCCGAGAGCAGTCTTCCTGAGTTCTCCCAAGCCAGGAAGGCTTCCATTAGTCCTGTTTCACAGGGGGGCAGATTGAACCTGAGAGCTTACATCTCATAAGGCCTGAGTCCACTGAGCCTGGAATAGTGGAGCTGGAGTCCTGTCCCTGTCTGACTGTGGTCTTTGTCCCAGAGCTGTCAGGGCAGATGGGAACGTGGACTCATGACCTGGGGTGTGAGTCCCAGAAACATGAAACATCACATCGGAGTGTGTTTCACATGTGAATATCATCCTTACCCTGCTAACTTGAAACTCCAGCTGAACCATCATTAGGAGTCTGTCCCCTCCCACACTCTTCAAGTTCTGCAAAAGCATCAGGAATCTTGTGTGAAGCAGACCACGGGCATGGGCTGCTATCTGTGTACCCGCTTCTCTTCACTACTGGTCTGTTGCTTGGGCAACTTTGTGGTCCCCTAAGGCTTCCAGGCCACGCTTGGACAGGCAGGATCTTAGTAAGCCTGGAGTCCCTGGAGGCTCCCTGCCTCCCTGGTGCATCCTTGTTACCCACAGGCCCATACCTCCTTCCGCTTTCTAGTTCTGAAGAGTCTATTCCCTGGAGTCACCTGCTGCCTCTCTCCTTATGAGCCCTGCCCCCACCCCTGCTGGGAGGCCTGGGCTGGATTTAGAAAACAGGAAGGTGAGGTTGTGTTTAGGCAGCTTCTGCTTTCAACTCAGCCACCCAACCGTCCCCAGGAGGAGGGAACAACAGAGGCCCGGGCATTTGGCTGGAAAAGGGTCAGGAGATGGAGCACGTGTGGGTTGACAATGGCCGTCAAAGGAAGGCTCCTCTCTCCTTTCCGTGGGCTTGTCTGGCTGGGTGGCTGGGGTGGATTTAAGAGGACGTCTTCCCCAGTCAGCACAGACCTGTCTAATGCAAGCCTGAGAAGGAGGGGGCGTCGGGACAGGAGAAGGGCGAGCTGAGCCTGGCCTCTGGCCTCATCCCTGTCAGTAGCCTCTCAGTGGCCGCCCCCCCCTCCCCCTCGGTTTTGGCTCCACGGGTGGAATTCTTGAGTTGTGCCACGGGTGCATGGTGGGTGGTGGAGGGGGAACAGTTTGGCAGCTGGAACCAGCCAAAAATCACGTCAGTCAAACACACACCATTTCCTGACTCCGGGCACTGCAGGGGTGGGGGCTGGCGGGGTGGCGGCAGCTGCGAGGACAGCCCTGCGCCTGGGGAGAGAAAGTCATATTGACTGGCCCTCTCTGGCTCCCTCCCCCTCCAGACCCTGGCAGGGCCTTTCCTTGGCCGGGCTCCGAGCTGCCTGCTCACCCCGCCTGGCAGACTCTCTGCATCTGCCCTACTTCACAGGCCCGGGAGGCTGGCGGCGGACCAGGGCTGGGCTCACGTCAGCAGCCGCCAGGGGAAGGGAGAGGGCAGAGTCTCCAGAGAGGCCTGCAGCCTTGTGGGCTGAGAGCAGGTGAAACCAGGGCACCTCCGTGCAGAGGTGGAGGAGAGGTGCAGGCATGGGGCCTGTCCCGAGCCTGGGAGACCCCAGAGCACCTCGGTGCCCCCCTCACCAAGTTCCTGCTCATGAGGCGGGCCAGAGGTGCACACCCCACCCAGAGCCTGGGACACCCCCACGCAGAGAACCCCCACCCCTAATTCCCAGCCTCTCCATGTCCTCTCTGTAGGGTTAGCATCCCAGTCGAATGAGGTAATGAGATAGCATCTCCTGGGCTCTTGTTACTGCCTGAGAATTAGGACTCCCAGCCTGGGCTCTGGTGCTCTGTTAGTTCAAGCCTCACCTAGTCTCACCGACCCTTTGTGTCTGAGGCCAGGGCTCCTGAACACCAGTCCACTCACGGCGCAGAAACTCTTGGGTGCGTTCGAACAGTTACAGACTCCTGGCTCCACCCCAGAGCTGCTGATTCAGTAGGTTCAGGGTAGAGCCTATGCCATTGGCATTTATTTTTTAAACACTTGAAGGGATTTTGACGTCTGGCCAGGTTTGGGAGTCAGTGTTGTGGGAGAGAGCCCCAGAGCAGGGTTGGGAAGCTTTGGATTCTCTGTTCATCTCTGGGGTTCATCTCTGGAGCCTTTGCGGGGTTGGCTCCACGGCTCTGGGCATCTGGTTCCTCATCAGGGATCCAGGGCTGATAATTATCCCTGTGTCCTCTCTGTAGGGTTAGCATCCAAGTTGAATGAGGTAATGAGATACCATCTCCTGGGCCCTTGTTACTGCCTTAGAATTGGGCTTCCAGGCTGCTCCTCAACCCTGTCCAGTTGTCTCGCTTCCGGCCTCAGGAATGCAGAGGAGGGCACGCGGATGGCTCTGTGCCGTCCAGCCCCGCTTCTAGGAACAGTGACTCTGGTGTGCTGGCGATGGCTCAAGAGGCACCTTGTATTCTTGGAAGGGGCGGAGGGAGAAGGGAAGTAGGCCCCCCAGGACCAGGGCTCTGAATGCTCAGCGTCCTCAGCCTGCGTCTCCTCCCTCCCGGCCCATACCAAGCCCCTCCGTGTTTCAGGTCGCAGTTACTGCACGGGAAGACGTGCCCGCCTTCGGCCCACCCCTGCCCAGCCCCCCTGTTTTCCAGAAGGTAAGAAATTCTCCTTTCTGCCCCTCTCATATCTGAGACTCTAGGTTTCCACACCAGAGTGGCAGGGACGGCAGGGGGCCGAGTTGGGCTAGAACTTGCAGGAGAACGTTCAGCAGGGTTAGGGGAATCTCCTCGTGTGGGGTCTCGCCCCACCTCTCCTTGTGCTGCCTGCCTGGCCCACACAGGGCCTTTCATCAGGCTGTTTGACCCTGGGGTTGCCTTTCTGCCAAAAGAAGGGTTTTACACCATGATCCAGTCCCAGGAGCCCTGGGCACAGATGGCTTGCAGTCATGGAAATGCCACTGTGGGGTGTGAGGGTTGGTTTCCCAGCCTCAGGGAAGCTGGTTTCTGCGTTGGTATCTTAGCAGGTGGGCTTGGGCTGGGCTAGAGATGATGTGTCAGACCTTTGAGAGGGATTCTTCCCAGACCCTCTATTCTGCCTACCTCTTCCTGTGGCTGAAGCCCTTTGGGCAACAACAGCTATAAGGCTGGGATGTCTTGTCTTTTCCAGGGCCCGGAGTTCAGGGAATTTCTGCTCACCAAGCTCACCAATGCGGAGAACGCTTGCTGCAAGTCGGACAAGTTTGCGAAGCTGGAGGTGAGAGAGTGGTTTCTGATCTTCCTCCTGCCCTCCCGGATAGCCTTTTCTTGGGGGGGTCTGTTCTTGGGGGCTGTTTAAGATGGGGAAGCACTGTCTTTGCCCCTCTGAGCCTTCAGCCTTGTGTTGATATGGAGTTCTTTCTTCTTGTGGGAACTCCATCCAAACTTTAGGCCTAGTCAACCATTCACCGATCAGCACCTACTGTGTGCTGGACTCTGTTCTGTTCCCTGGGATCCTGGAGACAGAGTTTCTGCCCTTAAAGAGCTTGTAGGCTGGTGGGGCACAGGTAAGATACAGTGCACTGGACTGTGATGGAAGCCAGTACTGAGGCTGCTTCTGCATCTGGGGAATGGAGGGTATGTTCATGGAAGGCTTCTTGGAGGAGGTGGCCCTTGAGCTGCTGAATATGGATATCTGATGAATCTTTTGCCCGGAAGAAAGAATGAGAATGGTTATTCTAGGCGTGAAAAACAAACAGCATGAGCAAAGGCCAAGCAGATTCAGAGCACGACTTTGTGAGGGACTCTAGAGGATTGAATGTGGCCTAAGCATTCATGTGGGGTCTGGAATGGTGGGAAAGCCCCTTTGGCAATGCTAGGGGGTCAGATCAAGAAAGGCTTCCAGCTAGAGGTGATGGGGCCCTAATAAAATACAGGAGGGTGTGGGAGAGAGGGGAGATTGAAGGGGAGGAGAGCAGGAAAGGTGGCCAGTTAGAAGCTATTATGGGAGTCCAAAAGACATAGTGACAGATGCTTACACTGGGCATAGGAAATGGTTAGAGTCAGAAAGACATGATGTTTATAAGGGTATGGGGAAGTGGATTTGTGAAGTGGCTCTTGAGCCTTTGGCTTGGGCTCTTTGCTAACATGGGGACCACTGGAGATGGGTTCTATCTAGACCTGCTGTTTGGAGATGCTCACAAAGGCTAAGTTGCTGGAAGGGCTTGTTTTGGTCTGTGTGAATCCCCTCCCTCCACTGCTGGCTCCCTCCCACCCCCGACAATGAAGACTATATACATGGCCCTGGATAAACATTTGGATGGAGACGAGCTCTGGGTAGTTGGGTACATGCAGGTGGTGCCTGGGGCAGAGATCAGGGTGGGGAGTCATCAGGGCAGAGCCGTGGGAGGGCGGGATGGTCCAGGAAAAAGGGGCAGAGGGTAGAGGGCAGAAGGCCCGAGTTAGCTGCAGCATTTGTGAGCGTGGGGCCCAGACAGGAGGTAGGTCCACACCGTAGCCCGGATGCAGTTGATTAGAAGAGCAGCCCTTGGGCCAGGTGTCTGGATCCCCCCAGAGAGAGGGCACGGCTCTGCCACAAGTGCCAGCTTCACAGCACCCCTCTTCCCTTCCAGGACCGGACGAGGGCCGCCCTCCTGGACAACCTTCATGACGAACTCCACGCCCACACTCAGGCCATGCTGGGACTGGGCCCAGAAGAGGACAAGTTTGAGAACGGGGGCCATGGGGGATTCCTGGAGTCTTTTAAGGTAGAGGCGCAAGAGTGGCTGGCTGTTGCTAGGGCAGCGAGGTGTGTGTGTGGATGGACCCAGGGAAGACAGCAGGGCAAAGTCCTCGTGATCCTGACCCCAGAGCCAAAGTGCCAGCCAGAGGGGGGCGGGCAGCAGGGGCATCACAGGTGTTTGCAGAGGGCAGGGGCATCAGGGAATGTGGATGGATTGGTCAAAAAGGTTATTTGGATTTTTCCATAACATCTCATGGGAAAACCTGAATGAACTTTTTGACCAAATCAATATTTTTCACTTAACACACCAGGGGATAGGCTGAGTGAGGCTGAAGGGCTGCTTGAAATGTTACACCTACAGGAGAGGTAGAGCCTTGTTTTAAACCCAGGTTTTCTGGTTTTTAGGTCCATGTTCTGCTGGATTGCCCATTGCAGAATGATTTGTAAAGCTGCCATTTCGGTGGCAGTATGTGTGGGGTTGGGTTGGACCTGCCCATATTAGAATCCCAGCCCTATGTGATCCTGGGCACAGTCTTTAAAGTCTATGAGCTGCAGATACCTTACCAACAATACAGGGATGATCAATAGAACCTCTGTCGTGGAATCAGTGGGAAAACTCACTGAAATAATGCGTGGAAAAGTGCATGTGACCTGGAATACAAGAAGTGCTCAGTGGAAGTGTTAGCTGGTATTACTGTTTTCATGGAAAGTGAAAGCTTAATGCACATTATCCCATCAAAAGCCTCACGACTGCCCTCTGTGCCCTGTGAGGAAGGCTGTTATTATGGGCATGATAATTTTGGTTTGATAATTCACACTCAGTTTTAATAATGATGGGTGTGATTTTACATGAGAGGAAGCTAAGACTCGAAGAGACAAAGCAGTTTTTCCCAAGTCACCCAGCAGACACGGGAGTTAAATCTGGGTCTGCCAGATTCCAGAGACTCGTGTTCTTAACAGCTACATGACACTGCCTCCTGGTTCCCGACTCTGTTGGGACTCCACCCAGGCTAGCCTGGCCTGGGCAGGCCTGGGGTCCGTCCCTGGCTGCCAGGCTGGACCGCAGAGAGCAGGGCAGGGCTCTGCTGGCCTACATGGGGCCAGCTGTTGAGATTCCTCACAGGGGTGAGGGTAGGAGCCAAGCTGCTTGCCGAGGCTGGCAGGAGATTCCTGGGACATCTGTTTCAGTCCTGATGGCCAGAGCCAGGCAGGGTGAAATAGAAATTGGGAGATCAAGAAGAAAGGGGGATGAGGGATAAGAGACGGACGAGATGAAAGGGGAGGAAGGAGGGAGCCAGGTTGGCTAGCCCAGCCATGAGTGGGCTGACCATGAGACCAGGTAATTGGAAAAACCTTTGTAGGTTCCCCCCACCCCCCATCATAGCAAGTACATTAAGCTGTTCCTGAGTCCCACAGTCAATGTAATTCATGTAAGACTCGAGCTGCAGTTGGCAAGCTAACATCATGCTGAATATTGCAGACATATAATGAAGCCTTTGCTGCTTTCGGTTTTGCAGGTTTTTTCTGTATCAAGGAGTTAATAATTAGTTTTTTAGATTTCAAATGTTTCTATAACCTGAAAAAGCTTGTAGGCTGTGGACAGTGGATAAAATGGCCCCAGCAGCTACAGACAGGTTGTGGGTCTAAGGGAGAGTGGCCTGAGGCCATTTGTCCAGGCTCTTGCTGCAGAATTGGTAGATTTATCTTTGACTCCAGGGGGTCGGATTAAAAGGCTTTTCCAAGAGAGATGCTTAAAGACTTTATCATTGCTCATCTTTGATCCTATAATCCAGGAAATCCATCTTTTCAACCCTAAATCCTTCTAACTGTAGGCTGAAGATAGACTCACTTCTGCTTTCTGCTTCCCTGTCTGTCTTTGAGGTAGCTCTGTTGGGTAAGGGGAGGGGATAGTCATGTCATGGTCACTGTTACAGTCAGTCACACTGAGTAAACCTTCAGAGCTCTGCCAGTTATGATTAGCTTTTTTTGCAAACCTTGCTGGGAACATGAGCTCTTTCTCCCTGTCCCTTCCATTGTTGCTCACATGTCTCCCAAGCTGGGGGCAGGCCAGGTGTAGTGGCATGAAGCCCAGTAGATGGGAGGGTTCTGGTGTTTGGGCCGTGTCTGTGACCTTTCCTTTGGTCTGACACAGCTCAGGAAACCATCTCTAGTTTTGGTATTTCTTTAGGGGCCACTTGGGTGGTGTTGGGTGTCAAAATCACTGGCATTCCCTTGGAACTCCTCACCTAGACCTCCGTGGAATCATTCATAGGAACAGTGCAGGGAATGACCTCAGGAAGAAAAGTTGCATGTTTCATCTCACTCCTGTCAAATTTCTCATCTCATAGGCACGTGGAAACAGAACTGAGAATTCCCAGAACTGAAAGCCATCTCAGCCCTCTCTCCCCTTGCCTCTGTGATTGTTCTTCCTCCACCTCCAGGGCAGACCTGGGCTGTGCTGCCTGGTACACTACTTAGAATAGCTCTTCATCTGTTACTTCAATCCCCTTGACTCTCATTTAAGCTTTTCTCTCATGAGAAACAGAACCATTCGTTTATGAGCATCTAGGCATGCTTTTCAAACTGAGATGCTTAGAGATATTCTGAGGAATCTGCCTGTTTTACGAACACTTTGAAATTTTGCACTTTTGCTTTAGATGAGTATCTATCTGGTGCTTCGCAGGTGGCGCTAGTGGTAACGAACCCGCCTGCCAATGCAGGAGACATAAGAGACGTGGGTTCAGTCCCTGGGTTGGGAAGATCCCCTGGAGGAGGGCATGGCAACCCACTCCACTAGCCTTGCCTGGAGAATCCCATGGACAGAGGAGCCGGGTGGGCTACATTCCATGGGGTTGCAAAGAGTCAGACATGACCGAAGTAACTTAGCACGCATGCACACGTAAGTATCCATCTATCTGTATGTGCATATTTCTAATTATAGAGGCTAAACTTTTACCTTGAAATTCACCATTAAAAGATATTTCTATGGACTAGGTAGATATATTGCAGATACAGTCCAGGGACCACTGTTGTTGGAGGTCTGTGAACATGTTTTTGGAGTCTTGCAAGAGGACTTTTTGTTAAAAGGAGTGTGCGTTACTGAAAAATAGTGACCTCTTGACTACTGTTCTTGAATGCTATTCTCAACCATTGCCAGCTGTTGATGAAGTTTTTATTCATCCTGGCGGGCTACAGTCCAAAAGGGTGCAAAGAGTCAGAGATGACTGAGTGACGAAGCATGCATTCAATACAAGGAAAAGAGTGATGATACTTGATGTATCCACATGCTATGTGAAAGTCATTCAGTCATATCTGACTCTTTGCAACCCCATGGACTGAATTCTCTAGGCCAGAATACTGGAGTGGGTAGCCTTTCCCTTCTCCATTGGATCTTCCTGACCCAGGAATCAAACTGGGGTCTCCGGCATTGCAGGCAGATTCTTTACCAACTGAGCTATCAGGGAATTAATACCCCAAGCAAGAAACACGGAGCTAGCCCTCCTAGGTGGCTAACCCTCCGCCAACCTCATCATCCCCCATGGAGGGGGTGGTCACCCAGTGTCAGGGGAACTGGGACCACAGCAACCAGGGAGTGGTCAGGTGACTTCCTCCCAGCCTCTGAGGGTATGTGGTAGGTGATGTGGTAGGTCTTCTCTGACCCCTAGTGGCAGGAGAGGAGCACGGAGCTGCAGAAATCTCTACAGTCAGGGCAGCCCTGTAGCTCGTGGCTTGGAGCTCTGGTCTGTCGAGGTGGAGATGCAGAGGGTTATTTCCTTATCCTACTGGGCTGCTAAAGGGACCAAAGACCTGTTATGGACCTCAGTACTTCCTGATTAGGAGCCATCTCAGCAGGCCAGCAATTAGCATCTTTCTCTCCAAGGCCCCTGCCTCTGGTGCTTGCCTGGTATCAGTAGGCATGTCCCCATTAGTGCTCATGTCTGGGCACTGTGTCTTGAGTTTGTTAAACTGGAACACTCACGAAACCCATCTGTAAGCGTGCGAGGTTTGTGGTTGACCCAGAGGAGACATGCTTCCTCCATGATGCTAACTGGTACTCAGCTCCCTTCCCCAGCTGAAATGAAGTGACGTGAGCAGGTACCCAGAAAGTGACTCCCTCTCTCCTTTCTGACTCCCCCAGAGGAGAACTCATTTGAAGGTAAGCCAGGAGGTGAACTGAGGGCTGCGAAACCCTAGTGACTGGGGATGGCGATGCAACTGGTGGTGGTTGGCTGGGAGGAGAGCAGACTGTGAGGAGAGGTAAGGATAGTTGTGTGAATTGGGAATAGACGAGTCAGAGACTCCAAGGGCTGGAAATGTTAAGATTTCAGATCAGTGCACAGAAGACCTTTCCAAAGGTCATGCTGTCTGCGGCTGGCACAGGCAGCCTTGAAAGCAGTGGAGCTTGTTCCTGGGAAGCAGAGGGGTGATGCACTGTGGCCTGGATGTGCTGGGGAGAGTGGGAACAGGTGCAGTTGGTCCCTGCAGAGCTGATACTCCTGCAAAGGCTTCATGTGCCTTCTTCTTCCCACAGCACTGCCCTCTGCTTCTGTCTTCTGCCCAACATGAGAAGCCCAGCGCTGCCAGCTCTACATCAGGTTGAAACTGATGGAATACTTTAGACCATGTCACTGGGTGATTTTGTCCGAATCAAGCGTTATTTTAGGGTTTGGAGGGAGCCATTGTCTCTCTCTCCTTCGGTCCCTAAGGGTGCAGGAGGAGGGCTGACCCTGGGCACGCAGGTATCGCACCAGATGTCTGGCACACCCATGTCATCCTCATGTTTATGGACAAGAGGACTGTCTCCGAGAGGCTCCCGTGCTCTACTGGGAAGAACCAGGATGCAAACCACCCCCTGTTTGCTTTGAGCAGCAGATGGCTGCCCTGCACATCCCTGGAATTCCCTGTCAGTCCCTTATCTATCATTCTTGTCTTATTGACTCAGACAGCGGCACCAGGGCATTCAAGAAGATTCTTCCCTGACATCACTGTTGGAAATTTTTTTTTTTGGGGGGCGTGGGGAGTGGAGGTGTTAAAGCTTCATGGTTTCTGACCACCTTTAGTCCATCAACCAGTTGAATTATATGTTGAATCTGAACCACTTTTGGGATCCTAGAGCCCTTGTATTTAGAGCCCAGGTTCTGAGTTTGGGTCCTGGCTCCATCTCTTACCTGCAGTGTGACCTGGGTCATCATTTACCTCTAGGGACCTTTTCTATCGGTGCTGTCCTCTCTGCATCTAAGAGTGGCAGGATTCCATAAGATCGTGTATGTGGAGCTCAGTAGATCAGATACCATCACACAGGGCTTATTACCCCTGTCAGATGTTCTCTGGAAAGAGACAGCAGCGAACACATCAGAACATAAATGACTAGGTGACATGGCGTTGTTGATGACTAGTGTTGGTGGCACCTGAGGGCACCCATGGAATGAAGTGATGCTGAGATTTATGGAGCACTTGATTCATTTAAGGATCTTTGATGTTTATCTGGGGAGGGACTCCCTAGCATGGTACCTCCTTTCCTTGCCTTTAGTTCTCCAAAGGGTCCATGACTTAATGTTCTTGGCATGATGAAATGAATAGGATGTGGTGGCTGTTTTAACCATGTTGCAGTAAACTGTTGTTCGGTGACTCTGTCTTGTGGCCTAGAAAGGGAGAGAGGAGGAGAGAGATGAGATCCCTTAAGGGGTGTCTTTGGCTCAGACAGGAGAGGCTAGGTGGCATGAAGAATGTGAGGTTGGTAGGTTCCATGCTTATTTGCAAACAAGTGTTCCTTCCTGAATCAGCTTCCCTTGTCAGGATGGAAAGGCAGGCAGGTTGTGGTTCTCAGTGTGGCTGAAGCTTGAATTCCTGACCTTGAGGAAATACCCCCAGGGGGTCTGCTGTGTGGGTTGGGGGCACCATTCGTGCTGATTTCTTGGGACCACCGTGCTGCAGACCAAGCTTTTCTCTCGATACTTTAAGGGAGGGAAGGAGGTTAGCTTTTCCACATAACGCCATCTCGTGGAGTGTGTAAGCTGACACATGCATGTGCGAGTGTGGGAATGAACCTGGTGAGGGTGGGAGCTGTGTCCACACGTTCATCCTTCCATGTCAGTTTTCTGAAGCTGAGGTTCTGCTGGTTCACACAATAAGGAAAGTCCATTAGCTCACTTAAAACAGGGCCCAAGGTGGCTCATGGTTATCCAGGTTTCTTCTCCTTTCCCCTCTGGCATCCTCAGCTCGTCAGCTTCGTCCCTCAGGCTTGATGCCCCTTGGCCCCAAGGTGGCTGCTGTGGTTTTAGAAGCAGACACGTCACATCTCTTGGGGGTCATTAAGTAAACCTTTCCCCAAAGCCCCCAGAAGGCGTCCCCTCATGTTCCACTGGCAGGGGGATGGGGAGTCATGATTTACTCCTTTGTCTCGAGGAGGAAGAGGGAACATTGGATCAGTGGTGGCTCTGCTATTAAAAAGTGGCTTGGCAGTGGAGGGGAAAGGCACCTGATTGTGAGCAACTAAGGATATCTGCATCCATATATGTTTGTATGTGGGCCTGAGGTCCTAGGGCCCTGGACAGCTGATGAGTGCAGAGGGCGCCCCCCACTGGCCCTGGGTCTTTGGTGTCACCCTACTTTTAAGGAACGTGTCCTGTTCCCTCAGCTGACGTGTATGCTTCTTGGGGGCAGGGGCTGCGTCTTCTGCTTCTTTGACTCCCTTCCCTTAAATCTCCTTATTCCTGGCACAGTGCTGGGCACACGGGAGGCACACAACAAATGCTTTTGACTAACAGCAGAGTAGCCACATACGAGGGTTATATATGATGTGCTGGGCCCTCCGTATGTAAGCTCACCAGAGCCCTGCGGTGTAGATCTCCTCCGTTCCACTTCAGGTAAGTCTCAGAAAAGCCAAGGAACCTACCAGGGGCCCCAGCTAATCTACCAGCTGAGAGGTTGTGGGGCAGAGAGTCCAGATATAGGTCCTGGCAGTTGGACGCTGGTACCCCATGCTGGTGACCTCTAAGCTGCGTTACCTCCTGGCTGTATTATTGAGTCACCGAATGAGTGATTAAAGGGAAGTGATCGGAGAGTTTGGGGGTCACTAGAGAGAATTTCCCTTCCTAGACATTCAGGTCATCTTTGAAGGTGTCCAGAACCAGGGAGTATCATCTACGTGGTGGGCGGGATCCTGTGGGCCTTCCCTTGTCAGGAAATCCTCCCCTGGGTCAAGCTGAGCACTGCCTCTGGAGGATCACTGCCCGTGAATCTGATTCCAGAACCACATTGGTCTGCAGAGCCGCCTGAGGGCACAGTCATCACCTCCCCAGCCCATCCCTGCTGAGGGCTCAGCAGCCTTGATTTGAGCTCTTCTCATCCCTGCCTGCTCTGTGACAAGCCTCTGGCCATCCTGGTTGTCCCCTCCTGGACACGTCACTGTTTGCCCACATGCCCTTTGGGTTTTGGTGATCCTACATGGGCCTGAGCAGTTCCATGCCCCCACCGAGAACCCACGTCTCTGCCCAGTCTGAGCATGCATCTCTTCTTCCAGCAGCTGTGTCAGGTTGGAGGCTTGTCTTCATAGTCTCTTAAGCCCCTGCAACTGCAAGGGAGGCTCAGTGCGTGGATTAGTAAGAGCTTCTTATGGTTCAGCAAGGTGAATGTATTTCACATTGCACACAGCACACTTTGGGATGATGGCAGTAGAGCTAGCTGGTGCATAAATATAGAAATACATTTAATTCGTGCAAGAAAAAGTCAGATTGGGGTCAGGCACATGACCATATTTAGTCCCCACGTGATGCTGCATGGAGCGCATCATTCTCGTTTTACAGATGAGGAAGCTGTAGCTTGGAGAGGTGGTAGCCAGATGAGGGTCACCTGGGTTTACTGGGCTGTCCAAACCTCTCTTTCCTCACCTGTAAGATGAAGTTAACAGCCTTTGTCCACCTTGCCAGGAGCTGGGGCATTGGCCCGTCAGGCTCCTTCTGGCTGGTGTCCTCTCTGACCTCTGCCTGCAAACAGCCACCCATGCCCAGAGCATGGAGTATATGAAAATACTCTGCAAACAGTAGTGAGTGTGGTGTGGGCCACACACAGTGTGTGTGTGTGTGTGTGTGTGTGTGTGTGTAATTGTGTGTACATGCTGAGGGCTCGTCTGCAGACCCTGTTAAACGGACAGGGTCATCGAGAGGGACCAGACTCCAGCCCTTAGGCCTCTGTCATCTGCTGTCCCCGCAGAGGGCCATCCGTGTGCGCAGCCACTCCATGGAGACCATGGTGAGCAGCCAGAAGAAGCAGCACAGCGGGGGCATCCCTGGCAGCCTCAGCGGGGGCATCACCCATAACAGCGTGGAGGTCACCAAGACGACCTTCTCGGTGAGAGCCGCTGGCCCGGGGGTGGCGCGTGGGACCTAGGGAGGGTCCTCCAGGCCCCAGTGGTGGGGGGGCCTGGGACCAGGCGACTTAGAGCAGGGACGACAGAGGGAAACTGAGGCTGTTTGAGGAGTGAGCCCAGACCCTGCCTCTGAAATGGAGCCTGCATCCCTGGGGTTGGCCCGGCCTAGAGTCCAGTATTCTTGGCTGGAGAATCCCAGGGATGGAGGAGTCTGGTGGGCTACTGTCTATGGGGTCACACAGAGTCGGACATGACTGAAGTGACTTAGCAGCAGCAGCAGCAGAGGCCCTTTTGTTGTCCTGTTCCCTGAGTTTCCTCGACCACTGAGCCATCGCCAGGGCAAACCCTGCAAAATGGGCCTGAAGTGAGTCTCTTTGCTTGGGGGCTTGGGACCCCTGACTGTGAGAGGCGTGTCCTTGCTTTGTTCTTATTAATGATAACAGTAGCTGTCTCCTACCCCGCCCCCGCCCCCTTAGCCCCTGCCCCCCCTCGCGCCGCCTCTCTTGCCGTGCACTAGGCACTGAGCTATATCATTCATGAACATTATCTGATCCGTTCCCATGACAGCTCCTGGAGGAAAAGGAGGCCCAGAGGGTTTAAGTGACTTGCTACAAGTCACCCAGCTAAGCTGAAGAGCTAGGATTTGAATGCAGGTCTCCCTAATCCAAAGTCTGAGTTCTTAGTCACCGCGTAGACGGTTCCCAAGGAAGGAACCTGGCAGGTCTGTGGGTTTTAGTTTGGTCAGCTCACACCAGAGGCTGGCCAGACAAGGAGCCCGTCAGTTCTTTAAAAAAGCAAAGTGACTTTGCATTTGCATGGATTATACTTTTTTCTTTTCTTTGCAGAACATGTCCACCACAATACTAATCGTTAGTAGTATAAATAATGTCCCACAATTTATTTATTTATTTTTGGCCGTACTCCATGGCATGTAGAACCTTAGTTCCCCAATCTTAGTTCTGTGCTTCCTGCATTGGAAAGTGGTCTTAACCACTGGACTGCCGGGGGAGTCCCTTGCACAATTCATTTAACGTATCAAATATTTTCATAGCTATTATCTGGTTCCTCCCCCAAGGTCTGTGAATGAGCAGGGCAGGGCAGTTTTATCTTTATTCTGTGGATGAAGAGACGGAGGCCCAGAGGGTTTTGTCACTTGCCTGAGGTTGAACAGCACGTGGAGGGCAGAAGCTGGGACCTGGGTTAGGAGCCTGCTGGGCTCTGAAGGTTGGCCATAGGCTCTCGTCTCCCCCTCCACGGTCTCCCAGCTTTCCACGGTCCCCTTGCATGTGGCTGAAGCAGAGCCACATTCTTGGGCTCCCCCTTCCTGACTCTGCTGCTTGCAGTCTGTCTTATTATTGGGTCCAATCTGTGACACCAGCTTGACCCACATCTTGGTAGAGTCAGGAGCCCTGGGCACATGTGCTTGTCTATTGGCAGTTTGCCATATGACCTAAGCCAATTCTCCTCATCCCTGGGCTCCTTAGCATCCTTACTGGTAAAAGCCAGAGACTGGTCCAGGTCTCTCAGCTCTGTTGTTCTCAGTCTGAGTCATCTTGTCCTTCTAAATATGTGGGGCTCTCCTTAGGGTGCCCCTGACCTCCAGGAATTCTGGTCTTTGGTAGAGTGTTACCTGGGTAACAGGTGTGGCTTAAGAACACAGGAAAACAGGCTGCAGGTGGCTTGAGTCTCAGGGTCCCAGCTCCCATTCCCCCATTATTAGATCTCACTTTCCTGGCTGGCTTGCTGATTTATGGGGTCTCCTCCAGACCAGGGCCTATTTGTAGGTGGGAAAGGGGGATGAGGAGAAGGAGGGCTGAGTTTGGGGGGTCAGCACTCACTCTGGCAGTTTCATTGGCAGCCTCCAGTGGCGGTGGCAACGGCGAAGAACCAGTCACGGAGCCCCATAAAGCGGAGGTCGGGGCTCTTCCCCCGTCTGCACACGGGCTCTGAAGGCCAAGGGGACAGCCGGACACGATGGTAACTGTCAGTTCTCACCACTGCTGCAGCTGTCAGAGGCCAACCTTGGGGAGGGCTTGGCATAGATCGGGAGATGGCTTCCTGTTGAACCGGGTCCCCACTTCAGACACCTGCACACCCCCTGTCACTCATTCAGCTCTTTATCCACCGAGGCAGATTTGAGCAATCTCTGCACAGGACTTTCCAAAGCTTTACAATTTGCATTTTGACCCAAACTAGAAACACCGTTGGGCTTCCCAGGTGGCGCTAGTGGTAAAGAACGCACCTGCCAATGCAGGAGACATAGGAGTCGGGGAGATCCCCTGGAGGGGAGGGGAGGGCATGGCAACCCACTCTCTTGCCTGGAGAATCCCATGGACAGAGGAGCCTGGTGGGCTACAGTCCATAGGGTTGCAAAGAATTGGTCATGACTGAAGCAACTTAGCATGCATGCATGCAGAAATGTCGCTACAGTTCTTATCTTTCTTTGCCTCCTTCTTCAGTGCTTACTCAGATGTCAGCTCTTATGGAAACCTTTGCCTGATTCTAACAGGCAAAGTTCATCAAACCTCCTCTGGGTTTCTAGAATGCTCTTTCTCTCTCTTTTTTGTTTTAAAACAACTCTCATATTGCATCATACTTCACCTGTTCTGGTCTTTCTGATCATTTAATCATTGAGCCCACTTATCATTTAATTCAGTAAGCAGCATCACTGAGTGCCTGCCCCGTGCTGGGCTCCATGCTCTGTCAAGAGCTACAGAAGATGAAAACTTACCTTCCAGAAGCTTACCATCTTATGAAGGGAAGGGAGGCATTGGTGTCCAGGCCTCCAAGTTGTCTGTCTGCAGCCCTGGATAGTGCATCATCCCCTGGGCTTGAGCATGCAGGACCAGGGGCAGGTTTATAGAATGGGCTGAAAAAGCTCTATCTGAAACCTGTAAATGTGAGTAAGTCCTTGTGGGCCCCCCAGGAGAGAAGGGCAGAGTTGGGAGTGATCAGACTGCAGGTCTTGATAGGAGAGAGCTCTTGACTGGAGAAGGAGAGACAGGAGCTCCTGGGGTGGGGTGATGTTTAAAGAGGGACCAAAGAATATGGCCACACCACAGGGTGTATAGAATGCCTGGGGAAGACCTGCGTTTAGGGGCAGGTGGAGAGAGGAAAGCCAGTAAGGAAGATTGGGAAGAAGATGAAGGAGGAGAGAGCCTGGAGATGCAGGGATAGGGGACGGATCTCAGAGGCCGGGAGAAGAGACATTCCTGGAGGGAGAGTCAGCTGTGCCAAGTACACAGAGAAGTCCAACTCAAAGACCCAAACCCCGGTTTGGGTTGACAGCCAGCAGATCATTGTGAAAGTGTTAGTTGCTCAATTGTGTCTGACTCTTTGAGACCCCATGAGACTAGCCTCTGTCCATGGAATTCTCCAGGCAAGAATACTGAAGTGGGTAGCCATTTACTTCTCCAGGGGATCATCTCGACCCAGGGATTGAACCTGGGTCTGCCACATTGCAGGCACATTCTTACCTGTCTGAGCCATGGGGAAGCCCTAGGAGGTCATTAGCACCCCATTAAAAGACATTGAGGCACTTCTTGCCTCTGGGATGGCTCTAATGATAATAATAAAAAGACAAATAATAACACATGTTGGTGAGGATATGGAGAAATTGGAACTCCCTTGCATAGCTGGTGGAAGTGTAAAATAATGCAACTGCTTGTAAAAACAGTCTGGCAGTTCGCCAGAGGGTTAAACAGAGAATTACTGAATGATCCAGCAGTTCCACTCCTAGGTATGTACCCAAGAGAAAGAATATATATGTCTATATAAAAAGTAGCATGCAGATATTCATAACAGCATTCTTCATAATAGCCCAAAGTGGAAATAGTCCAAATGTTCATCACTTGAAAAATGGATAACTGAAATGTGGTATATCCATAACATGGAATATTACTTTGCAATAAAAAATAATGAAATTAGCCTGGAATATTGCTTGCAATAAAAAGTAGTGAAATAACATAGTACCTACTACAGCATAGATGAACTTTGAAAATGCTATGCTAAGTGAAAGAAGCCAGTCACAAAAAGACCACACTACATTGTATGATTCCATTTATATGGAATAGCCTGAATAGGCCAATCCATAGAGACAGTTGACCAGTGACTGTTGGCGGGGAGGGGAGAATGGGCAGCGATTGTAAGTGCATCCAGAGTTTCTTTTCAGGGGAGGCTGAAATATTCTGAAATTAGATTGTGGTGATAGTTGTACAACCCTGTGAATAGACTGAAAACCGTTGAATTGCACTCTTTAAATGGGTGAATTGTATAAGGATTATTTCTCAATAAAGCTATTATAAAAATAAAAGTGCATTGAAGACAGGGCCATCATGTCTCCAAAAGTGAGCAGGGCAGTGGGCGTCAGTACCTGGTCTTTGTTAAGCAAGAAGAGGAAGAAACCCCGGAGCTCCAGACTGAAAGTGACCCACTTCCCAGCACAAGGGCCGCTTCATCACCTGGACTCAGGGAGCTCGTTTTACAGTCTGTGTGAAGTGTGGCCTCTGGAGTTGAGCAGTGGGTGGCCTGGATAGCACCCTGGGGAGCCCATGTGCATTGTTTTTTTCTTATTTTCCCATTGAGAGGTGGTTGTCCCAGACCCCCTCCATTCCCTTTGTGGCCTGCTCTTGACCTAGAGCTCTGCCACGTGAGCTGGCCAGCCTGAGTGGGGGAAGGTGGACTTGGGCTCGGGGGCACCAGCCTAGAGCTCTTGCTTGATGGCTCTTGACTCTCACCCGGGAGCCTGGAGTCGCCTCTGAGGGCGCAGAGGACCCGGTGGTCTGCCGCAGTGTCTGGGGAGGTCTGGGTGGGAGTGGAGGTCCTGGTGGCCATGCTGTCAGGAGGGCACTGTGACCCCACAGGTCCCCATGGTGCTGAGTGCTGGGTGGGGGGCGGTTATGGGCTGGCCCCCTGGTCTCACTCCTCTTCATCCTCACTTCCTCAGTGACAGTGCATCCAGCAACCCCAAGACCCCAGAGGGCGGACACTCTTCTCAGGAGATAAAGTCTGAGACCTCATCCAACCCCAGTTCTCCAGAAATCTGCCCCAACAAGGAGAAGTAAGAGAGCGAGTGTGGGGGTGGGGTGGGCTTTAGCCATCCCGGGCCCCAGAATATGTGCTCCACTCCCGGCTGGCTGACAACCAGCTTCTCTTGCCTTGGGAACTCTCTGGAACACAAAAGCCAACACCAAAGCAGGGGCCTGTGGGGGGCTGCTGGGGGGCAAGCTCAGGTCTGCCGGGCCTGCCTCACCCTCGGTCTCAGGGAGGGCCTGTGGGGGGCGTCTCGGCATGTGACCAGGGCCTGCCTGCCTTCCCCTTCCCTGCAGGCCCTTCATCAAATTGAAGGAGAACGGCCGAGCCAACATCTCCCGCTCCTCCTCCAGCACCAGCAGCTTCAGCAGCACGGCGGGGGAGGGTGAGGCCATGGAGGAGTGTGACAGTGGGGTAGGTGCGGCCCCGTCCAACCCTGGGGAGCAGCGAGGCACCCTGGGCCCAGGGGGATACTGCTCTGTGCATTAAAATAGCTCCTGTGGGCAGAGCCTCACGCAGGCTCGGCAGATTAAAGGGGAAGTGAGGAAACGGGAGAAGGCCCAGTCAGCGATCTCCACCCTCTGGGAGCAGTGGTTCAGGGTGGAGTGGGGGGGTCCTCCCTCAGAGTGACACTCCCTCTCTCCTCAGAGTGATGCTCCCTCAGGAATATCAGCAGAAAGGGTCAGAGGTCAGACTGAATGGTGCCCCTGCAGTGGGGCTGAAGGAGGGCTCAGCTCTCTCCATGGGACTGGGTCAGGGGCAATTCCTGGGGGGCAGGGGAGAGGTTGGAGTCGAGGTTGGAGGCAACAAAGGGAAAGAGCAGGTCCAAGGGGGGTAGTAGGAACCTGTCTCAGGCCTGCCGAGGGTGGGACTGCCTGGCTCACCCAGTCTCTCTCCCCAGAGCAGCCAGCCGTCCACAACCTCTCCCTTCAAGCAGGAGGTGTTTGTCTACAGCCCGTCCCCAAGCAGCGAGAGCCCCAGCCTGGGGGCAGCCGCCACCCCCATCATCATGAGCCGGAGTCCGACAGGTCGGTGGTGTCTCATGGGCGGTGTGGACCATGTGGCTGGTGGGGGCGGGGCTGTGGCTTGGCCGCTGTTGGTGGGGTTCGAGCCCCAGGCACGCTCAATTGTCCTGTTTCCATTTCAACCCCAAAGTGTTAGGGCCTCCAGCTCTGCCGGCTCACCGCATCTGTTCATCACTCTCCAGAGGCTGTGTTCTCATCCCCTCCTTACTTGTGGGGAAACTGAGGCTCGGAGAGTTCAGTGCTTTGCCAGAGGCATTGAGACTGTGTGATTGGAAAGCTGAGGCTCTTTCCACTGACCTCTCTGTTACCCCATCACTGACCCAGGGCCTCTCTGTCATAGGGACCATCTTGATAATACAGCTATAAGGAGTGGGAAGCGTGGTACAGGTGGACGGAACTGCAGTGGGGAGGCCTGGGGGGAGCCCAGAGGCTGTGTCTGGACCCACGTGTGGTTCAGTGCTGCTGGAGTGCATGGAGGGTGACTTGTCAGAGGGGAGACAGTGGTTAGACAGTAGGACCACCACGGGGACCCTGGTGAGGATTTTGCTTCATCCTGTCCCCAGTGGGAGACATTGGAGGGCCTTCAGTCTTTAAAGGCCCTTAACTAGAAGGAGGAGAGAGACTGTTTTGGTGGCTGCAGCTGGCTGAATAGAAAGGGTTGGTGGGGAGTGGATGCAGGGAGGGAGAGCATTGAGGGGTCACAGTGAGTGGTGAGGGGTCACAGGGCCATGGGATGGTGTCTGGGGTGATGGGAGAAGGATGTGGATTCAAGGGGTGCCCAGGCTCAGTAGTGAGGGCTCAGGGAAGACAGAGTGTGGGCCCTTCAGGGTTCTATGATCCCTGCAGTCAGGCAGAGAAGGAGGAGGCAGCTCTGGGGAGCGAATGAGGGGTTGGAACCCAAGGGGTGTCTAAGCAGACATGTGTGGTTGGCCTCATTGGGCACTGGGCGTGCCTGGAAATCAGACAGTTGGTCCTGCCCCTGAGGAGGGCAGTATTATGTAGTGGAGGACTCTGGAGCTTGGCTCCAAATCCTGGGTCTTCCACTTACTAGTGATGTGCCAATGGGCAGGTTACTGAGCCTTTTCTGTGTCTCCGTTTCCCCAAACGAAAAATGGAGGGAGCAGAATATTTCTTGTCTCATGTAGTTGGTTGTGTGATGAGTAAATGAGCTTATGGTTGTAAGAGACGCAGAACTGTTAGCCTAAGTATTTGTTGAATAACAGGAAGAAAACAATAGCTTAATGAGTGGTTCTCAACTGGGGGTGATGCTGCTTCCTAGGGCATGCTTTTCAGTGTCTGGAGGATTTTTTATTTTCATGATTGTGGGAGGGTAGTGTCCTGCTGGCATCTCCTGGGCAGAAGTCAGGAATGCTGCTAAGCACCCCACAGTGTACAAGGCAGCCCCCTGCCCCCCCACCCCACCCCCTTGCCCCAAACAAAGAGTTATCTGGCCCATAATGTCAGGCTGGGTTTGAGGAACTTTAGTCTAAATGATAGAAACATTTAAGGCCAGTGGGCCAGTAGGGTCATTTAAACCACGGTGTTTCTGGGGTTCTCATGGTGAACAAATGTTGACAAATGATGACATGTGATGTTAGGGATAAAGAGAAGGCATGGTTCCCAACTAAACAATTGTTTATGTTAGGGTGGCAATCCCCTGTGGCTGAGCAGCTGTGGAGCTGGGTTCTGATCCCAGTGCAGTGTTGACAAGCCCACCTCTTTGAGTCTCAGTTTCCTCATCTATAAAGTGGGGTAGTAATGTAAATTCCCAGATTTTTTTTTTCAACAAGGCTTATTAATTAAATATTGAAGGAATGATTGAATCTGTAACCAAGCCTGGATCCTACTTGATATTAAATAAATATCCAAATAAATAAGGTTTTGAGTAAAAGGAGGTTTAGAGTGTGACTTGCTGAAGGTCGCCTAGGGCAGAAGGGGATCTCCAATAGGTCTGTGACTCCTGCAAGTGCTTATTGCACCCCCACCTCCCATGAAGTGTTTAACCCTGGTGGGGGGGCGCTTCTCACTCCCAGCCCCACAAGAGTTGTGCTTTATACCTGTAGACTGGAGTGGGCTTGTGGAGATCCGGAAACCTGTTTTAGAGGAAGAGACAGGGCTGAGGGGAGGGAGCTGGCTGGGAGGGCTTGACATCCAGTCTTCCATAATCTCCAGTGCCATGGTCATTGGTCATTTCATACGTGAGCTCCCTGGGGTCCTGAGAGGGTGCTGGCGGCTCACACCGAGAGGTAATCATAGCACCGAGTGGAAGCCTTGAATATAAAGCACCAAGAGTAAGTCAGCAGTTTCTAGATGGAGTGTACTAAGCTGTAGATTATCTCAGCCAGAGGAAAATCAGAAAGCCAAGTGAGCTCCCTGCGAGTGGTGTGCTGTCAGCGTTTAACAACTGGCTGTCCCCCTCCACCCCCACAAACGCATATGTTTACTTAAATTTTACTGATATAAAGGAGCTGAAGCACATAATTTATAAATAATGATATTAATAAAATATACAGCATTCTTTACTATAAATTCCTCAGAGTCAATTGATTCTCACAAAATGCTTTTATTGATATTTGCCCAACCTTTGTATCCATAGAAAACGTAAAGTTCCAGATGATGAATGAGTCTAGTTGTCTTGACATGAATGATGATTGATATTATTCTGTCAGTGATGTGAGCAGCTTCTCTGTTGAATCAGATAATAGTTTTCAAATACAAAAAGAGTATTTTCTCAGTTTTTTGTGCCATTTACAATGTAATGACTAGAGACAAATACATTATCAAGTATAATCCATTCTGTTAACATATGCTCCATGAGTTTCTTACGTCTAGACAAGAAAACATTAAATGAAGCTCTGATTTGTAGTGTTTGCTGACTTCCATGGTGTGACTCTTCCTTGCTGATCTCAAGTATCCGTGTGACGTGGAGTTGGGAAGAACTAACTGACATAACGGGGGCTTCCCCGATGGCTCACTGGTAAAGAATCCGCCTGCAGTGCAGGAGACGCGGATTGGATTCCTGCGTCAGGAGATCCCCTGGAGGAAGGCGTGGCAACCCACTCCAGTATTCTTGCCTGGAAAATCCCATGGACAGAGGAGCCTGGTGGGCTGCAGTCCACAGGGTCACAAAGAGTTGGACGTGCCTGAGCGATGTGTGAGCAACTAAGCACGCACATGCATCAGACATAATAGATGTAAATAATCTTAGGAGAATAAATAATAGTAAAATGTACTGAAAATACTAGATGACTTCTGAGTATTTATTACCTTTGATGAATATAATTTAATTGTAAGCTTGTAGAATTAAAAAAATTATAACTGTGTGTAACAACCAGCTCATGACATTTCTAAAAATGTGAGAATTGTCTCTTGTGAATCAGCACAGGTCAGCTAGAGTGCCTAGTGGAGGGGACGCCCCCTGCTTCTCTGGGGTTCCCTATCCAGCTCCTATCCGCCAGCCCCAGTGACCTCTGTAGCCCCACCCTCCTCTCAAGGGCATTCGTCTTTTTCCTAGATGTCAAAAGCAGAAACTCCCCGAGGTCAAACCTGAAATTCCGCTTTGATAAGCTCAGCCATGCCAGCTCCAGTGCGGTAAGGATCTAGGGACATGGGGGGAGCCGGGGGAGCCTTCCAACTACTATGTGCCCATCTCCTCCAGAAGCCAGCCATCCTTCCTGGGGTTGGAGGAAGAGGATGCCTCACACCTCACATGGGGGCAGGGAGGAAGCTCTGGTCTGATCTGTGGGTGCCATTGGTCCCCCATTGGTCCCCATGGTGCAGGCATCAGCCTGGGGTTCATCATCCACCTTTCCATACCTCCTGTATCAGAGCCACACCCTTGGACACAGGCAGATGCAGGTTGGAAACTGTTGGCTCCCGGGGCCTCATGTCCCTTCCCAGGCTCTCTGGAGAGATGAGCACCAAATATACAGAAGCTGTGTTGTCAGTGGGGATTATGTGGTCTAGTGATTTAAAACTCTCATATGGATTTTTCTTGAAACAGGGTCACTAATGTGAAAGAGGAGTCCTTCGCTTGTCAAAGGTGGGTCAGGTGTTGGTCCTGCTGAGGCCACGAGGGAGGGTGTGTCACTAAGATCCGGCGTGCTGGTGGTCTGATACCCAGAGAATGGCCAGAGAGATCCTGACTGCTGGGGAAGGCCAGTGCCTCTTCCCTGGAGTCTCTATGGTGGGACTCAGGTCTGGATGGGGAAGAGGGCACATGGCCTCAGGTGCCCATGGGAAGGGTTGCCTGATCGGATTGGACCCGGCTCACTGAGCATCTCCCTTCCCCGGAGCAGCCTGTTTCAGCATGCAGAGGGCAGTAGCCCAGAGCCCTCCTTCCTCAGTTGGCCCCTGGCCTCCCTGTTTTGGCAGCCTTTCTCTCCTCGTGTCTTTGTCCAGTTCTCTGAGATGAGGCATGTCTTCCCTGTGTGTCCAGAGATGCCCTGGTCTCCTAAATCTTGTGCAGGGTGAGCCCAAGGAGAACCCTACCTCCCAGCCTCAGTCAGGAACTCATGAGGTTTTCAGCAGAGCAGGGCATGGGTCCAGCTCTCCACTGCCAAGGCCTGGCCTCCTGCTAAGGAAGTTACTAGAGACCCGTCTGACTGCCCAACCTTCTCCCTGCCATGGGGCTCCCAGGGGTATGAGTCACGTTTGGAACCAAGGGGAGGAGCACAACTGAGCACTCACTATGTAAACCAGGCCTGTGTAAATGGGCATGTCATTCCCACTTCCATCATGTACTTCAGATGCCTTATTCACTAAAGTAAGGTTTGTGTCCAACTTCTCGGGCTGTGGCAGCTCTGTACCCTTGTCTCTGGCAGCCACCCGTGAGCACATGTGAGCACAAGCGTCTCCTTCTCTTCCTCTACCTACTGTTCGATCATCTTCTCCCTTCTTCTTGTTTTTTCCAGGGAAGCCCTGATTCTGTCTCGGAGAAGGCTCCTATTCCAGCAGTTTGGGGGTGCCGTCCACTACTCTGACCATCACAGGCCTGCTTTTCCACTGGCCACCTGGCCACCAGACAAGCTGTCTGTCCCAGTGTCCCGACCTGGCCACAGCCTTGCCCGTCCCTGCCAGCACCTCCCCATCTCTGGACAAGGCCTCATTCCTCCAGGCTCCCTCCATTCCTGACTGCCTGATGTGATGTGTGTCTGGGTCATTTGTCATCTCGTTTTGTCTGCAGGGGAAAGAGTTGGGCAAGGGAAGAGGGGGATCTGGGTACCAGTCAGAGTCCAGAGAGGCAGAGAGAGTGGTGAGCTGGGCAGGAGAGGCTGATAGCAGGGCACTATACCCAGGCAGGGGCAGCGCCGTGTCCTGGATGTGGTAGGCATGAGGCTGCAGCCACACTGAGCATGTCTCCCTTCCCCGAAGCAGATGCACTTAGTGGTGGTAGAGGGAGCATTTTTCTAAGAATCTAGATTTGTAGTCGTCCTCGAAGGCGTCCTGATAGAAACCGGTTCTGCTGCTCCTACGTGTCTGGAGCTCCCAACATCTACTTGCTTCTGTGCTGGGAGCTTCTTACCCACCTGCTGACGTCAGGCCAGACTGCTTTTGCCCCTGCTGCCCCTGGATCTCAAGCTATGCGGCCGGGTGAGGCTGAGACACGCAGCTGGGCACGCGTGGGAGGTGTGTTCTTCTTGGACGGCTTCACTTCCTGCAGGAAAGCGGTAGCTGCCGGGGAAGTCGTCAGCCTCTCCCCTTTGAGCGGATGCCTTTCCCACGAAGGGGTGGGCAGCGGGGGTGGGAGGGTATTCAGGGAGAGCCGGGAGCATGCAGGAGCCTTGGCCAAGGAGAACCTCAGGGCTAAGGGCTGACTGGGAGCCAAGTCGCTGCTGGTTGTGGAGGTTCACGGGAGGCATAGAGAGTTACTTCCATCCCCCACTTAGAGGGGAGCCCAAGAGGCGGGGTGGGGGACAGTTGGTTGGGTTGGTCTAGCTTAGGTGTGGGGATGGGTGGTGTCTTTCTGCAGTTTGGATGTCTGGCCTCCACCAGTGCCCTGGGGGATTCTTTCCAGCTACTAAGCCTTTTGGTTTTATCAGGGCTTGATCCACCCTAAATCTTAAATCCTTCTTTTCTCCTCTCCAGCCACAAGTCTGTAAGCATTTGTCACATGAGTGGGATTCCTGCAACCTAGGTCCCTGCTGGGTATAGTTCAGACGCTATCTGTTATCTGCACCCTCACGCTTTGCTGGGCTGAGCTGGCTCGCTCTCTGAGAAGTGGGCCTTCCTTTCTTCTCAGCTGTCTGAGCCAGTGATAGGTCATTTCTGTTGACTGACCGTGGGGGGGTTTAAGGTGAGGAGGTGTCCTCCGAGTTAAACAGAGTCTGAAGAGCAGACCCTTGAGGGGTGCCACAGCTCCAAGTGTGTATGGGGCCTCAGTGACACACAGCTGCTGGGGTGATACTGCTAGGCTCCTGTTTCAACGAGCAGATTACGTGGGCTTCCAACTAAATGCTGTATTTGCATTGGGATCTGGGCCTATCCCCAAAGCAAGACATAAAAATGTTGCACTCGTTTTTTTGATTGATGTGACAATTTCCCCATTACTTTTGCTTTTAGAGCAAAATCTTGGTCCTTCATCCCCAACTCACGTGAACTCTGTGGGATCCTATTTATAGGTTGGGTGGACCTCTCCCCTTCACACTATCTGGGAAATGTGTTTACTTAAAGTACTAGTCCGGTTAGATTTATTCTGGTTAGAAGGTCAACAGTGTCTATTTAGCTTGTATTAAAGATCCCCATAGCAGCACCCATGGCTGGAATGAGGCCCGTGGATTCTGGCAGCATTCTCTTGGCTGGGCTTCTGAAAGAGCTTGAAAGGTCAAACTCCATTTCTTTAAAAACTGTTCCAGGTTCTGGCTGGCTTCTCTGAGTAGCTGGTATTTACAGCCACCTGGTGGTTGTGCTGTGCTGTTTGTCATGCTCTGGGAGTCCCCTGGGGTTTTCAGGTGGTCCCCATTCTGTCCTACTTGGGAACCTTCCAGCCACCTTCCCCCACTGCTCTGGCTGCTCTTTCTGTAGCCCCCACCTCCCTGGAGGTCTCTGCTCCTTGCCTCTGAGCCAGTGGCCGGGATGATCGCTCCGTGTGTCCAGAGAAACTGAGAGGCGTACGTGGGCTTCCTAAGAAACAGACCCGAGAAGTGGCCTTTACCCTCTGTGTGCTGATGGAGATGCTCTGGGCAGGATCTGAAATGTCCCTCCCTCACTTCATCTAGGAAGGTTATTTTGTGGCTTCTAGAGTGTACCCCACTAGCCCCACTGAGGTCCAAGGCTGTGGAGGAGAGGGAGAACGAGGACAGGCCAGTCTCCCTTTGTCCCCTGGACCATGGGACTGACAGCTTGGGTTCCTGAAGGCTGCTCGCTTCATCCCCTCTTGCATTGCTCCAGAATGTCTTTCCTTTTATTGCCTCATCTAGTCTTGGGGCTCAAAGGTTGCTCCAACCTCCTTGGTCTTTATGACTAGACTCATCCCTGCTGGTGTTCTTGCTGGTATTTGAGGCGTCCCATCAGAGACGTATTTCCTGGACATAACTTTGGCTCTGGGACCTCATGGAAGAAGCTATACTTTTCAGTTCTGTTGGGCATCCATATGCCTCTACTGAACTGAGGCTTAAAAATGCAGATGATGAGCTGCAGATGCAGAGAGAGCTGAAGGGAGAAGGTCTTAGCTAGACTTTCTATCTCTGCTAATGGATGGAAATGGGAAAAACATTCTGTGCTTCAGCCTTGTCAGCTTCATCTCCATGTCCAAGCCTTCTGGGTGCCTTTTAGCATCTAATCCAACCGTGTCATCTTCCAGATGAGAACCTTCAGCTCCAGTGAAGGGAAACAGCTTGCTTGAGGTCACTTAGCCAGCTGGTGGCAAAACTGGGATGAGAATCCACAACCCAGAGCCCTTTCTTCGGCACTACCTATGTGGTTGGTGGAACAAGAGACTGGATTTACCGGGGCCGTGAGATCTGAGGAAGCCAGTGAGCCAGTTTCTCGACACTGGTTGGGAGGTATCAGCCACAAGGGCTGGTGGGTCTCAGTCTTAGTCTCTGTTCTTTTCAGCAGGAGGGATGTTCTTTGGGATTTTTTCAGTGAGGGTCCTGGGGATTGGCTGCAGCTCGCGCAAAGAAAACAAGGAGAGAAAGAGATTTCAGGGGACTGTTCCTCAGTGACATTAGTTATTCAGTCCTTGTCTGTAATGAGGGCATAGGCCTGGGCCAAGATGCAGTTAACCAAACCTCACTTTCCTTTTTTTTTTTTAGTTAAGGAGAAAAGGGGTAAAAGGAAACTCTTTGAACTCTCCCTGAGCGTTAAACAAAGGTAGTCAATAAGAACCTCAGCTCAAAGGATGATAGCCCGTTTCATGTTCTTCCCCTGACGTTTAAGGTGCCAACTCAAACACTACCTTCATTCATTCTTAGTCAACAGAGATAGGTCTGTTGTGGGGGAACGGTCGAGGTTCAAACAGATCTCGTGGCTACCAGTGGCTGGCAGGGGCCCCATGGCTCTCTCAGAGCAGGGTGAGTCAGCAGTTTGCCAGGGCTGTTCCTACCGCCTGGGGGGCCCGGACTGGGGCATTCTGTTCTGCTCTGATGGCTGTTTTATCACCAGTTCCTTACCCCAACCCCACAGCTCCCTCCTTTCAGCAGGGCCCTGTGCCTCTTTGGGAGAAAGGAGAAACCCCCCTCTAAGGCCAAGGACAGTGGAGTCCTGTCTAGTGAGACACTATTGGGAGGCGAGGGCACTGTCCTGTCCTTATCAGTCCCAGGGAGAGAGTGTGTGGCTGGAAGACTGGAATTTAAATGCCATCGTTTCTGATCTTGTGACATTTCTACCTGGAAGGGTTAATCCCCCGCTTCCTGTTCCTTAGCATGTGTGTCCACTCTCCCCTCTCCCGGGCGTTGCCCTTCCACACTCCAGCCTGGGGAGTGCCGCTGTTTACGTGTGAAGAGATTCCTCTGTGTGCTAGAACCTGCAAAGTGTAGCTTGGAGATGATGATCCATGTGATGATGACTTTTCTGTCTTTCCTCTTTCAGAGGAGGTGATTTGTAGACCCCCACCCCCACCTGCCTATGTAATGTAAATAGTGTACATTTAATTTATTGCTATGGTAGCACATTGTATTTGTTAATGTATAAAACGAATTCTAAAAGGTTGACAAATGTATATTTTGTTGCTTAAATGTGTCTTTGCAGAAATTGACAATAAATAAGATATTTTGTGTCCATCAGTGTTCAGACTTCTTTGCCTCGGGCCCCAGTCCTGGGCATCTTTCAGTACATCAGAGATTGAATCCGTATTCCCATGGGCTGTATCTAACCTGTAGGTTTATTAGTCAAGAAACATCCCTCTGACCACTGGCACCCACCCCCCACCCCCCAGGTTCATTCTCAGTAGCCAATCAAGTTGCTCTTCCCTCACCTTTGATACCTAACCAAGTTCCTCTTGATAATTTTCCATCCAATTCCTCACCTGGCCACTGGCTAGAAATCCCCATTTGTCCCTGTTGTATTTGGAGCTGAGTTCAGTCCCTCTCCCTGATTGCAATAGCCTTAAATCCTCATATAAACTCTTGCTTGCCTTTTGAACTCTGGGGCAGTTTTTCTTTGACAGGTGGCTAACTTGTCCTCCCCAACCTAGCCTCTCCTCCTCTGCACATCCGCACCAGTGTTAGTAGGGAGAAGAGGGAGGCAGAAGAGACCTCTCATTTTGAGACTGCTCCTGAGTGAGTATGGTGTTAGTTGCGGTACTCTGAGAAGCAGACACCAAGACATGAAGAAGACATTTGTTAGAAGAAAGACCTGTGAGAGAAAATGGGGAGGGAGCTGAAGAAAGCTGAAGAATTGTCAGACTGCCACACAGGTCTGACTGTGAGTGAAGAAGAGATGGGAGGAAGCAGCATGGCATGGAGGCATCTTTGATGCCAGTTCATTTCTAAGAAAATTCTAAGCAAGGCTATTGCAGAGTCCACTAGCCACTGTCACCATCTCCCTGCAGGTCTTCCATTGCAGGCAGATTCTTTATCGCTGAGCCACCGGGCCCACATTGATGTAGGGGGTGGTTAAAGCCTCCTTTCTCTTGGTTCTTTTGGCCTCTCTGTCTGATATAAACCCTCTGTTGGCTCCTTGTGCTTGGCAGGTATTCAGATGCTGCTGATTTGTTATAAATTCCCTTGTTATGAGAGAAATCTACACGCATACAGTCTTTGCTTAATAGTGTAAGAATTTCAAGTTTGGCTGCTTCCTTGGTGTCCACTCAGCTCTCAGGATGTCCCCTTATCCTCACCACCCTTGCAGGTAGCAATATCTGCTGCTCACATCCTAGCACTCTTTCTCTTCACCCTGCATCTACCTTCTCCTTTCTCCAGACACTAGCCGTGACAAGTGGTTTTGGCAATGTTAAGACAATCATCATATATGACTCATTGTGGGATGTGTTTGGAGGACCCTCAATCTTGTAGGAATAAACAGAAACAAGCCAAACGCTCTTCTTTCATGGAACCAATTCCCCTCTTTTACTGCCTGGAGAATGAGGTAGACTGTTGCTTTTATTGCTGGTTCTAATGAAATGTTATCATTTTGCCAGCCTGGTGGGGTTCCATGGTTGGCTCCAGTGATCCAGTGGTTCTCTGAATTTGAAATGCAGATTTGGCAGATCACTGTTATGGCTCATTCAAACCTCTGTGCTCCCATGACAGATACTATTTATGGGAACCAGAGTTAAGTTCCGGGGAGGAACTCTGAGAAGTAGTTATGACACCTAAAGGCAGTGATCCGCTGAAGGGGGCCACCAGACTCCATTTCTTCAGACAGAGATAATACCTGTTGGGAGCATCAGGTCATCCCTGCTTCAGACCAGCTCCCTCAGAACAGAAAACTGCTCCCATCCAGGGATGGCTTCTCAAGCATTTTAGTTTTAGAGTGCATAAAAATCACCTGGGGAGACTGTTGAAAATGCAGATATCAGGCACCATTCTAGAGGTTCGAATTTGACTGGGTCCCAGGAATCTGCATTTTTAATGAGCTTGTGAAGGATTCTGATGCACTGATCTGGTTTGTAGTCTCTATATACTTCCCTTTTCTATTACAATAGTCTCAGTGGGAAATGGACGGGGAACAGTGAGAATGTGGGGAGTTTGAGAGATGCCAGTCCTCCTCCTAAGAAGACTGTTATTATCATTATCACAAATATGGGAGAAATGTCTGTCCCAGCACGACAGACAAGCTCTTACAGGAAAATGAAAGGAAATCACTTAGAGAGAAGAGAATAGAGAAATATAAATAAAACATGAAGCTTGTAAGGAATAGTTTAAGATGAAAATGCATTATGACTGCATGAATGACCAGGGCCTCCTGTAATAAGACTGGGAGAAAAGATGAGGTCATGCTTGAAGCAGAGAGAAAGGACTTGGTGAAAAGAAAGAAAAAAATCAGATCCTGAGGATTAAAAATTAAATTAAAATTAAAAATTAAAATACAGCTAGAGCCTCTTTCTCCAAAACAAGCCGAATTATCAGATGAAAGATGTGATGGGAGACTTTGGAAACCCACTGGCTATCTAGGAGCAAATCAGCTGCTGGAAAGAGCTGAAGATAGCACCCCTGGGTGACATGTTCCCTGTCATTAATGATGTTAGAGGCAAAGTAATCTAGTAACTACAGTAGGTAAATGAAAGGATGTGGCTGATGAATTGACTCCATCAAGGGGAATAATAACACAAAACAGCCCCTGTAAAAGAACTAGCAGAAACAAACTGGCACATAAATGACCCCACACGAAGACAAACAAATGATTAGACAGATGTAAGTTAGACTGTGTTACAGAAAAATACACACACTTTATGAGAAAGATGGGAGAAACTGTGCTCAAAGTATTGGATCAGATAAATTTTACTAATCACCTTTAAAACATTATATTAACATTAGAGATATATATATAAGACTAACAAGCATTGCTCTAAAATATCAACTTGTGGGTTTTATAAGAATTTATCACTAATAAGGAATTTGAGGGAAAGTTCAGGGAAAATGAACAACAAAGCCTAGATGAAATCCATTTATGAAACCTGGTATAGTAGTATATGTAATGGGAAAGGATTTTAACTTGTTTAATTATAGATTTCTTTCTTTCTTTCTTTCTTTGGTTGTGCCTCATGGCTTGAGGAAATCTTAGTTCCCTGACCAGGGATTGAACCTAGACTCAAGTCAGTGAAAACACTGAGTTCCCTGGACCTGCAAGGAATGCCATAGGATTTTCTACTAAGGAAGAGAGTTTCCAAAAAAATAGAAAGGATACATTTCCAGCAGATATAAACAACTGGAATCTATTATAAGGATTCAGCAATGATAAAATTTTATCTAAGATTTTAATTCAGTGACTAATGCTAGCCCATGTACACTAGGATGACTAGGTTGCAGAACTTGAAGCAGTTCAAACTAGTTTAAACTGACAAAAAAGGAGGCATTTATTAAAAAGAGAGAGGGGTCTATACAAAAAAATTGATGAACAACAGAGCTTAATCTATAGCACAGGGAACTATATTCAGTATCTTATAATAACCTATAACAAAAAATATCTGAAAGACAAAACTGAATCAATTTGCTGTACAATCTGAAATTAATGCAATATGTTAAATCAACTATACTTCATAAAAAAATGAGGGAAAAAAAGGGACAGGGTTTCTCCTAGATTCAAAACGAAGGGGATACAACTAGGCCAACAGTAAGGCAACAAAGGTCATCAGGCCTTATGCCTATCTCTCACTTCTTTCTGCATTTCTCTGTATTTCTTTTCTCCCTGTTGTGCTGTGTCATTCCTTATGAATATTTAAGGCTTTTTGTTTGGTTTATTCTCTCTCTGAAGACCAGCTAAGCTGGTGTCAGCATCATTTTGTCTTCACTGCCTAGACCTTTTAAAAATTTTTTTATTTTTTTTTAATTTTTATTTTTTTCATTTATTTATATTAGTTGGAGGCTAATTACTTTACAATATTGTAGTGGTTTTTGCCATACATTGATATAAATCAGCCATGGATTTACATGTGTTCCCCATCCTGAATCCCCCTCCTACCTCCCTCCCCATCCCATCCCTCTGGGTCTTCCCAGTGCACCAGCCCCCAGCACTTGTCTCATGCATCCAACCTGGACTGGCGATCTGTTTCACCCTTGATAATATACATGTTTCAGTGCTATTCTCTCAGATCATCCCAACCTTGCCTTCTCCCACAGAGTCCAAAAGTCTGCTCTACACATCTGTGACTCTTTTTCTGTCTTGCATCTAGGGGTATGGATTTGGGTCCATGAAATTGTTTCCTTTGTCAGCTGGCACAATGTTAGGCTTTGTCAGTAGAGGGTGCAAGAGAAGCACTGCAAAAGATAAAGTTTTGTTTCTGGTAGACCTGTGCAGGTTTTGTTGTTGTTCAGTGGTTAAGTCATGTCGGACTCTGCGATCCCATGGATGGCAGCAGGCCAGGCTTCGCTGTCCTTCACTATCTTCTTGTGGAGGCTTGGCAAGCTCTTAGACCTCACTTGGAAAACCCTTGGAGCACAGGCACACGCACTAGCTCCAGACCATTTGCGGTTTCTCTTCATAAGGAGCTAACTGCTTGAAGTAGAGAACTGGAATTCTGGCCATTCTCCTCAGAGAATCCCTTTCAGAGGGGAGAATTGGCAATCAGGCACTTCTCCTCTGAGAGCTCTATTTGAAAAAGGAGCTGGCATCTAGAAATTGCTTCAGAGCGCCTTGTGTCTGTCTGAAGAAGCCTGGCTCTCCAGCTTTTAATGTTCTAGAGAGCTGTCTCTGACTAGATGGTAGGTCCCAGGCTCCTGCCTTTTTCCTCAGAGAGCTATTTCTCCATGTGAGCCTGAAGGCTGCCTATTGAATGTTTCTCCTATTTTTGTGGTTTTTCTAAAGAAAATCGACCACCAAGCATTTCTCCTCTATCAGTGCTGCCAAGCTGTGGAGGGGGGAGGGCTGAGCCTCTGGTACTTCACCCCAGAGAGAGCTGTCTCCCTGTACAAATAAAGGAGCTAGACATCTGTCTTTTCTCCTCAGAAAGAGCTGTTTCCTTTTCTGAGGCAGAGTGCTGGCAATCTGGCATTTCTCCTCAGAGTATGGTCTGTCTGAGGTGGAGGACCAATCATTGGGCATTATCTCCTCAGAGAAGTCTGTCTCTCTGCTTGAAAAAGCCTGCAGATTCTCCTGAATTTCACTTCATAGAGACCTATCTCTGCCTAAAGAAGTCTTGCTGGCCAGCCCTTCACCTTCTAGAGGGCTGCCTCTAACTGAATGGTAGTTCTGAGCCTCCTGCCTTTCTCCTCAGAGAGCTGTGTTTCTGTGTCAGCTGGAAGGTTGACCATGGGGCTTTTTTCTTCCTGAAGGACTCTGTTTGATTAACAATACCGACCAACTAGCATATCTCCTCTGATGGGATGTCTGTCTATTCAAGGGGCAGGGCTGAGCCTCAGGTTTTCACCTCAGAGAGAGTGGTCTCTCTGGCTGAATCAGAGAGCTGGACATCTTTCTTTCTGTCACAGAGCTCTTAATCCTTCTCAAATTAGAAGGCCAGCTATTCCAATAAATATGATACAGATTATGTCAACATGCAGCACTCCTTTTTCCTAGAAGCTGTTTTCTCCCCTCTTTCTCCTATTAAAAAACTACACATGAGAAAAGTAAGAGAATTGACAACAACAACAAAAGAGAAGGCCAGCTATTCCAGATTTCTCCTCAGAAAAGCTGTCGCCCTTTCTGAGGTAAGAGTGTTGGCAATCTGGTGTTTCTTCTCAGAGTGCGGTCTCTCTTTGTGAGGTGGGGGAATCGGCCATCGGGCCAGTTTCATCACAGAGCTCGGTCCCTCTGTTTGAGAGAGTGAGGTGGCCATCCTGAATTTCTCCTCTCAGTGTGCTGTGCATTTCTGAAGCCAAAGCCTGGCTGTTTCCGGTTCTCCTATGTGTGATCGACAAGCCCTCAGGCCTCACTGGGCAAACACTTGCTGCGCATGCGTCGGCTTCAGGTCTGGCTGCCCGAGCGCCGGCTGCTGTCTCGGCAGCGGATCCAGGCCTTGCCCGCAGTTTCCTCCAGTGCCTGGGCCCGCGATGTGCCACAGCCCGGAGCACCCACTGGCTTCTCCCAGCAGCACCCTCTTCCTACACCTGCTGCTCCGTCACCTCAGGAGTTTCCCGTGAAGTGTGAAACTGGCAGTGTCTACATGGAGCACGGGGAGAGACGGAAGAAAGAGGCAGACCGCTCCAGACTGGTAGGTGCAGGTTTAATACTCAGGGAAACCACGACGGTTATCTTGAGTGCCTGCTAGAGAAGTAGATCTCTGCACGCACCTGCTGGAACCTTAAAAGTGTGTTGTTCCTGTTGTCGTTTAGTCGCTAAGTTGTGCTGGACTCTTTTGTGACCCCGTGGACAGTAGCCTGCCAGGCTCCTCTGTCCCTGGAGTTTCCCAGGCAAGAATAGGGCAGTGGGTAGCCATTTCCTTCTGCAGGGCATCTTCCCAACCCAGGAATTCAAACCTGTGTCTCTTGCCTTGGCTGGCATATTTTTTACCTCTGAACCACCAGGGAAGCTTTAAAGTGTATACAGAGGTCTTAACAGGTCAAATCTTTACTTTTACCTCTTTTCTTCTTTCCCCCCCGTATACTCAAACACAACACATTCTATACACATATATACCTTTCTTCCAGTTACCTTACTGAATTCTTTACTTTTTAGTGGATTTTTCTGGTTTTTCAAGTATAAATCCTTTTACCTGACCTAATTAATCATAGTTTCTTTTTTCCTTCCACTTAACTGCCCTGCCCTGTCTAAAGTCTTATAGCTTGGTCAGGCTCTTCTAAAACATTAAACGAAATTGATGACAGTAGGGGTATTAATATTCATGTAGACTTTAGCAGGAATGCTTCTGGAGTATCATACAGTTTGTGATTCACTGTGGTCTTCTAAGTCTTTATTAAATTCATTAAGGTTTCTTTGAATCCCTAGTTTACTGAGAATTTTTTATTTTTAAACTCAGTGATCGATGTTAAATTTTATCGAAGGCCTTTGCTCATTTATCTATCTGATTGTTGTCATTGCATGTTGTTTAAAAAATGTAATTCTAGACTTAATCTGCTCATGTTTCATTTAGAAACTTTGCATCAAATTCCTTGACAAAAGACAGAGCCGGGGCAGTGGGAGTGGGTGCTTGGTGCTGGTAGGAAAGAATTACTTAGTTTGTGGGTGTGCTAAGTTCGTGTCCTACTTGTGTCAGACTGTTTGCAACCCTATGACCTGTAGCCTGCCAGGCTCCTCTGTCTGTGGAACTCTCCAGGCAAAAATACTGGAATCGGTTGCATGCCCTCCTCCAGGGGATCTTCCTGACCCAGGGAGCAAACCTGGGTCTCCTCCGTCTCCTGCATGGGCAGGCAGGTTGTTTACCACTAGCACCACTTGGGAAGCCCATTGCTTAGTTTAAGGAAGGGTTAAAGGATCCAGGACTGTTTTGCTCCCCAGTGGACCAGGAGGGTTGGCAGAGACATCCTTTCTTCTGACTTGACCGAACACTATGCAAGAGTCGGACGTGGTTTAGTGATGACACCACCACGACCACGACCACCACCACAAAGATGGGAAACTAGATTTCAGTTTCTATAATGACACTTATAGAGACATTACTTTGCTAACAAGTGTCCATATAGTCAAAGCTATGGTTTTTCCAGTAGTCATGTATGGATGTGAAAGTTGGACGGTAAATAAGGCTGAGTGCTGAAGAATTGATGCTTTTGAACTGTAGTGTTGGAGAAGACTTGAGAGTCCCTTGGACTGCCAGGAGATCAAACCAGTCAATCCTAAAGGAAATCATCCCTGAATATTCATTGGAAGGACTGATGCTGAAGCCCCAATACTTTGGCCACCTGATGGCGAAGAGACGGCTCATTAGAAAAGTCCCTGATGTTGGGAAAGATGGAAGGCGGAAGGGGACGACAGAGGATGAGATGGCTGGATGGCATCACCGGCTCAATGGACATGAGTTTGAGCAAGCTCCAGGAGATGGTGAAGGACAGGGAAGCCTGGCGTGCTGCAGTCCATGGGTCGCAGATTCGGAAGCGACTGAGCGACTCAACAACAGTAATGACGCTGGAGATCTCTGTTCAGGCGCCACTGGAGGGCGCGCGCAACCAGCGGAACCAGCAGGCATCGCTCTGCGGCGGTTGGGAAAGAATAATTAGAGCGCCGAGTTTTCCCGGCTTTTCATTAGCTGGTTCTGCGGGAGTCCCGCTTTTCTGACCTCCTCATTGGTTGTTGGCCCGGGGTAAGTCTTTGGTCAGCCCCTCCTGAGGGTTTGAAAGGGATGTAGGAGAGACCCAGAAGTCCGGGTTTACCGGGACCAATCAATCAGGGCCTCCCACTGGTCTATCAAACAGGAGGCTCAACCCCTCCTCTCAAGACTTTCCAGTGGCTGCTGCCTTACCCTGGCGGCTCTCGCTTTGGGGTAGCCGAGGTTCTCCTTGGCGCTTTAGCGGGCTTCCGGAGCGGAGCCGATGCACTCCGAGTGGCTGTCATCTCTCTTTAGCGTTGTTTGCCTCAGACCCGCCGCACACAGGGCTGGATGAGCTTCGAGAGACGGCTGTAACCCGGGTGGATTTGGGGGGCTCAGCAGTGCCAGCCCTGTAGAAAACGGCTGGAGCGGGGGAAGGGATGTCTTGCCTTGAGCTAGAGATCTGGACTCTGGGGTAGAGTCCTGAATGGGGAAGGAGATCACTACAGACAGCTCTTACCCTTTCCTACCAGAGCTGGGCAGGAGGTATTCCCTTCAGCTGGGATCTCCCAGTGGGAGCATCATACCTTTGAGGGCCCTTTAGACGTTTGTATTTGTAGACATTGAAAAAAAACATTTAATAATTTTAACTTTGAAGTTTTAGTATTTTGGAGTTAATTTTATATATATATATATATATATATATATATATATTAGGATTCAGTCATATTATTAGTCCTTGGAAAACTTGTAGGCCCAAGGCGGAATGTCTATAGCAGGTAGTGGAAAAATTATGGTGCTGTCCCACCCTCCTCCAACACACACACAAACACACACATGGTTTTCAGAGAAAAACTGGCTCCCCAGCTCTCTGAAGCCCAGGGCTTGGTGCTGCTGAATAGACATTTGTAGATAAAAGGCTGAAGGAGTATACTAGAATGGGACCTGGGAGGATCCTTGCTAAACAATAAAATTGAATATGGAAAATGCTCTACAAGCCAGTCTGGCACTGATACTATGACTTCCCTGATAGCTCAGTTGGTAAAGAATTCACCTGCAATGCAGGAGACCCTGGTTTGATTCCTGGGTTGGGAAGATCCACTGGATAAGGGATGGGCTACCCACTCCAGTATTCTTGGGCTTCCCTTGTGGCTCGGCTGGTTAAGAATCTGCCTGCAATGTGAGAGATCTGGGTTTGATCCCTGCGTTGGGAAGATCCCCTGGAGAATGGAAAGGCTACCCACTCCAGTATTCTGGCCTAGAGAATTCCATGGACTGTATAGTCCATGGGGTCGCAGAGTCGGACACGACTGAACAACTTTCACTTTCACAGAGTTAGTGGTCTAATCACGTGGGCTTGGGTCAGGAGGTAAGATGCTTATTGTAGTGGGCACTGCCACTCTGGCAACCTGGCAAAAACCACTCCAGCAGTATTGGTCACTGCCCGTCTGGGTCCCTCTTCTATTGCTCTGAACTTGGAACTACAAAGATAACACAGAGTCAGTGTCTAGGTAATTTTAAGTAGTTTGTTCCTGTGTAGACGTTGACAAATAGTTGGGCCAGAAAAATCTGTGGAGGAAAGGATTAACTGTGGGTTACTCTTTGGATATCAAAGCAGGTACGGGGGTGTGGAAGGAAGGTTGCAGACTTATTTTTCATTTTACTCTTGACAGTGTTTTTTTTATTTTTAAAGTAACGCAAACATAAAAAATAAAAGCTGCAGAAATGAATAATTAGTGAAAAGTTTCTTACTCTGATGTCCCTATTTCCCTATCCAGAGGGAACTTCTAAGTTACCTGAATGTCCTTCACAACAATTTATGCAAAGAGGCATTTATGTATACAGAATGAAATCTTAGGTTACTAACTAGCTATTGGTGGCCCTTGAAGACAATGCTTCTGCATTGAAAAAATGGACCTGTGCTTCCCGAATCCCCCTTCAGTGACAGGCTTGCTGTCTAGCTGTGGAGAATGCAGCAGTCAGCAGAGAGCTTCTAGCTGTCAGCTCCTCGAGGGTTTTCTTCAGCTGCACGTACCCTCCTTGTCTGCAGCTGCGTCTTTCCCAGGGTAGTCCACACCTGGTGGTTATAAAGCCTGTCCATTTTGGCTCGCTGTGAGACAACTCTGATGGTCAGTGTTCACTCCAGATCTCTGTACTGAGTTGGTCAACACTTTGTGGGCTTGCTTATAATTTGACTTCCTCCTCTGCCTGATCAAGCTTCTTCCCTTGTTCCTTCACATATGTCTATTCCTAACAAACATTTTGTACTCCAAACATTTTGTACTCAGCACCTGCTTCTGGAGAACCCAGACTGTGATACTGTCTTGATGGCATTATCGTCCACCACTCTCATTATTTCAGATTGCTTAAACTCTTTGCATATACCCTGCTGCATATACCCTCCCTGGCAGTGTATCTGGTAAGGGACAGTTTTGCCTATGACAGCTGCAGTAGGGGTAACACAAATCATCGTCTATAAATGGCTTGCAAGCCATTCTCCTAAGAGAAGGTCAGAGCTCAGAAATTTGAGTGAATATGTGTTAGCATGAGTGACCTCCTTAGGCTATAATTGAATATATCTGGATGAGGCTTGGACTGTGGTCTTGTCTGACAAGTTGAAGTATTTGATCCTACAGACGTCTTCTGTTAGTCTTAGTGTACCCTTATTTATTGCCAAGGCTGGTGAAGTCTAAGGGTCATTGGGTTACACATACATATCTTTTCTTTACTATAAAGCAACAGATTCATTCTGAGCTGGATCTGTGTCTTAATTAGCTTCTGTATCTCATACAGGATAATGCCTTGCACATGACGGAGGAAATTCCCAGACTCGACTTCAGTGCCTCAGTTTCCTTCCTGTCAATCTCTGGAAGGCTTTTCCTAAGAGGAGTCTTCCCAGAGCCCCATGTATGTCCTTGTTCCTCAGGCTGTAGATGAAAGGGTTCAT